CATGCGGCGCCGCGGCGCATCGCCGGGCTCTGAGGGCGGACCAGGGTGCTCGGGCAGGTGGCCGCAGTCACCGCTGGGCCGACTGGCCGCACCGTCGCCTGTCGCCTCTCGCTAGCTCGCTCGCGCTGCACTCTAGGCACAGCGCTGCTTGGGACGGCGCAAGGGAGGACCGCGGACCGCCGGCCCACCTCCGGTCCCAGGGTTTAAATAGTCAGCCCTGGCGGCCACCCGGGAGGGGCGGGGAGAGGCGGGGTCATGCAAATAGTGGCAGTTTTAACTTGCTGGTCTTCTTGGCGGGAGGGAGCCGGAGCGAGGTCTCCCCGTTTCTAGGCTCTTAAAGTCGGACTAGTTCTGGGTTGGTTCCCCCTCCAGCCCCGAGACCCCCTAGCTTCTGGAGCTCCCTTGCAGTTGGGCATTCATGAGGTGAGGGACTGCCTTCTCTAGGCACCAGCTTGAGGCCTGCCCACCAGGGGCGCCTGGGCTAATCCAGCAGTTCTGAAGCTGACTGGTTGCCCTAAGGCCTGATTTTGGACAGGTTTCCTGAGTGTCCTCTGGGTCCCTGTCTGTCTAGAGCATCTTTCCCTGATTGAATGTCAGTCTGGGCCCACTTTGTCCTACAGCACTTAGATGAACCAAGTGTGGCCACCACACCCCAATCCTAGCCTAGGTCACCAACTTTCAATGCCAGATGAAGCCTGTCCCAGGGTCTGTTCCTTATCTGGTTTCACTGGTTTCATTGAAGGTGAACCTTGGGCCTGGGAGACTTGAAGAGTTACACAGCTTTCTCCCTATGTAAGTTTTTTTTTTTTTTTTTTTTTTTTTTTTTATCAGAAGGGATCAGACACCTATCACAGCTGGAAAGTATCAGGGAGACATGTGGGATAGGCCAGTATCAAGGCCCAGGGGCACATCAGTTGCTATGGTGCCTTAACCTTCCTTGCTCCTCTTGAGAATTGCTTTTTAAGTGGCTGTCCTGCCTTAGGAGTGCAGTCTAATCCATTTCTGTGTCCCCAGAATCACTACAGGGATTTGACTCCTAGGGCCTCAGTCCCCACCTTCTTGTCCGCTCCCACATCCTGCTATTGGGTGACATATAGCTATAAGCCAAATCTGGGATCTCCAAAGGCAAGATGATTTCTTTCAAAGAGAAGAAGAAGATGAAAAAAAAACCTGCAAGAGTAACAGCTGCCGTTACTGAGATTCTGGGTGGTTTTATGCTGGCTTTGCATTTTCTGTGTTTCCTGAAATCTCTCTAATAAGCGTGTGCTGTCTTTCAGTTAGAGCAAGGAACATTACATGCTATTTTTTAAGGTATAGCAGAAAGTTCTGTGTGTGCCAGTCAGGGGTTCCTAGCTTATACAGATTCTGTTCTCAGCAGCCTTACCACTGTGATGTCAGGGACAGGCACTAAATTTAAGGACATCTTTGTTTGCAATGGCAAGAGCCTGAAAGTGACCAATTCCTTCCATCCTAGCCTAGTGCCTGGCTTGCCTTGCTCTTGCCCACACACCTCGCTTTGTGTGGCGATCCTGTTTTGCAGAGGGGTAAACCAAGGCTGGAGACGGGAAAGGTTCACCTCTACAGTTAGCTATAGAAGATCAGCCCCTGGTGACAGAGATGGTGGCGCACGCCTTTAATCCCAGCACTCAGGAGGCAGAGGCAGGTGGATCTCTGAGTTTGAGGCCACAGTGAGTTCCAGGACAGTCAGGGAACTACACAGAGAACCAGGTCTCCAAAAACAAAACAAAACAAACAACAACAACAACAAAAGATCAGCCCTCGGGCCAGGCTCCTGGATTTAAGAGTGCTTTGTGGGAAGTTCCCTGGCTTCACAGACCAGGCCAAGTCAGTGTCATCAGGACCAGGCCTCTCAAGGTATCCTCTGGCCCAGAGCTTCCAGCTGGCTTGGTCACTATACCCGGTACCCAGGAGCTCTATCTAGTCTCTTTGTTGGGTTCTGTGCCTGCTAGGAAGGTCCACTCTCCTCTCTCACATGGAAATGCAGTCCCAAGGGTGGAAACTTAGGGGAATACAGATTCGCCTTCCTGCCCCTGGGACACTAAACAGAACCCACCCCTAGCCAGCCCTGTTCTCTCCAACCGCACAGCCTCGCTTTACCCTAAGTGCCTGGCCCCAGCTCTCACCTCAGCCCTGCCACCCTTCCCTCATGCACGTGCCTCAGAGGGTCCCAGCAAAGTCCCACGTCTGGATTTGGGCTGGGGTCAGCTTGGGAACTTCCGGGGTGCCTCAGGACTCAGCACACTGCCAGGTACACAGTGTCGTTCAATAGATCCCTTGATTGAAGACTGTCCTTCCAGGTATGTAAAGCAGTGGGCAGCGCGTGGGGTCCGGACTGCTTCCCACAAGAACCCCCTGACCCGCTGCGGGGTAGAGGATACAGGCTGATCTCAGAACTGGGCTTGTGGGGAGGTACAGCTGCAGGCTGGGTCCTCCGATCTCCATCAAGAGAGGTGGCACTGACCTCTATCTCCAACTGGGTGCCCCGTGCAGACTTTCAGTGAGGCTTGGGAGACAGGGTTTGGGGGTGGAGTGGGGCTAACACAGACCTCACTGTTGTTGCTGGGCATTATTTCACACACACACACACACACACACACACACACACACCACACAAAGACCCACAGGCAAAAATCGAGGGGAAAATAGTTTTTTTTTTCAGGTGCTAAAAATATTGTCAGGAAATACTTTTCAGCAACGTGCTGTTTTAGGTCCCCCCCTGGACTCAAGGGCGCCTTTGTCTCTACCACAGAAAATCCACATTTATCACAACCAAAATCGTTTTATCAAGCAGGCTCATGTTCTCAGGAAACTTGAGCCCCCCAAGAGGCCTGTGACACTTTAATTTAGGGCCCGACTGTGTGTGCCTGTTTTGGTAGGGGAGCCCCAGAGCCACCTACCAGATGTTCAGGCCTTAGGAAACCGTGAAGGTCAAGATGGGGAACACTATTGTTGTTCTGCCTGGTCGGGGGGATTGGGCTAGTCAGCTTATCCCACACGGCAGGCCTGAGGCTGCCGCCCACCCCTGCCTCTTTCTGCCTTCCCTTTGGATGTAGCTGGAGAAACCCAAACTCCCCTGCAGCAGCTCCTTCCATCACACAGTACAAACAGAAGCTCCCTCCCCACTAGTGACCCTTGACTGTTCCAGGATGGGGTGGGAGAGGCCTCAGGGCCCAGGGCAGGTGGGGAGGAGAAGCACATAGCGTACCCACAGGTGAGACTAGACAGTCCGCCTCGACAGAGGGGAAGGACACCATACCTGCACAGCATCTGCACATGGGGTCTGCCAACCCCAGTGCCCATGACGTGACCTTTGCTATTGATGCTCAGCATGTGCTCCCCAAATGGCTACAGCTTGCTTCTTTTCAAGCAAATGGGAACTGAAAAGGCCAACGCAGGTGAGGCTCAGGCAGAGCTTTCCCACCCGCTTGATCGGCCTATGGGAAGCTCCGAGTCCACTCGAGGTACAGGGTGACCGGGAACACGTGCAGATGCGGGCCTGGGCTCCACCAGGTACCTTGGAGGCCAGCTCCTTCAGGGACAACTCTATTTCCTGCTTCCTGAAAACCGAGGCAGCTGACACAGGATAGGCCTGTAGACCTGGAGAAACCACAGCTGATAAAGTCACGCTGCTGGGATATTTTTTAAAGGCCTTGGGAAAACTCCGATGACATCGTGCCAAGGAAAACATTTGGGAAACAGCATTCGGAGCAGCGTGCCCCTTACAACCATCCTAAGTGTGTGTTCTGGAGGCGGGAACAGCTCAGGTTTCCCCTCTGAAGGAGTGGGGTTCGGATCATGTGCGGTGGTGTGATCTTTACTTGCCTCCTGCGAGGTTTTATTTTCTCGTATAACAATCTTCCTGTCAGGTATGGATCACATATTCCAGATGGTCTCCAAAGACTGGATCACCCAGGAATACTGCAGGGACCTCGGTTTGTGTAACAAACTCCGTGATGCTCTGCAGTGACCAAGCTGTCCAGTGACATTTCTCAGCTGCATCTTCATTGTCACACCGCACGGGATGTATTTTTTAAAAAAACGTCAGTGTTTTAGACATCTCAAATAAACAGGGCATGTCAAATGCATCCCGCTCCAGCACAGTCAAGAGGAGCCTTTGCCTCCTGCTCCAGCTCTGACGCTGACCAATCTTGGTGTGACACTGAGCTCTCAGTCTGGGCCCAAGCCCTTCTGTTCTGTTTGTCTTCTCCCTACACTGACCTGAGAGGCTGGTAAGGCCAGTGGCTCCAGACTGGGGCATCCCAGGGGTGTGCGTGGCCAGAGCCCCCGGGTCACGAGAATAAGGATGTTAGTACCCTCAGTATGTCCCAGATCCCTCAGTGGAGGTTGCACGATGGCATGTGTCTGTCCGATTTTGTGTTATCTCTGGTAAGAACCCGATCAATGCCTGATTCTTGGCCCTCTGTGTGTATGTGTACCTGTTTGTCTGTCTCTCTACTCTCCTCAACCCCTGGAGGGGATGAGCAGGCAGAGGCTCATCTCTGGAGCCACACATGGGTTCCAGGTCTAACAACATACGTGTAAACTCCAGGCTCGACGAGGAGCCCTGGGGCTCCACCGTGGCAGGACCAGGCCTGAGGGCCACTTTCTCATTTTCATAGATATCCAGAGAGCCTGCTCAGATTGCTCAGGTTAGGGGCAGAGCTAAGGCACCCATCTGAAGCTAGCACCTCTCAGATGGATGTTGGGATCCATCAGACTTTGTACAGGCCAGGAACCAAATGTGGGGCGGTCCAAAAAAAAAAAAAAAAAAAAAAAAAAAAAAAAAAAAAAAAAAAAAAAAAAAAAAAAACTGCCTGCTTCCCTTGGAAGTGGGACTGGGCAATTCCAGTAGTGAGGTTTCATAACCCTTTCCTCCCAGACTCTGGGGAGGACAAGAGCCAGAAGGCTAGGTCCCCCATCACCTGCATAGCCTGAATCATTCACCCCAGCCGCCTTCTTCCTTGGCCCTCACCTCTGCCGAGGGATCCCATTCTGTCCTCTTTAGTCTGCGTTCCTGTGCCTTCAGCTCCACTGGGCAAGGCCCAAATGAGTGAGCTGTGGGGTCCTGGGTTTGACCAACAGATCTGATCCTGACCTATCTGATCCTGGCCCAGATGCAGCTTCCTCACCCCCACACACTGGTCTCAGAGCGTGGCTGGGAAGGCCTTTCACAAGCACCAGCCCTCTGCCCAGGGCAGGAGTCACCAGACTCTGACACATACGAATGTGCACACGCCTTCGAAAATGTTTAGAGAAATGCAATATATTCTTTAGAAAAATCCCTTTTCCCCAAATACATTCTTTTATGTTGAATAAGTAACAGCAATATTCCCCGCAGCGATTCAAATACTCAAAGTGCAGCATTCTCAGAAGCCCTCATTGTACTCAATGTTCTTCCGAGCAGCCCGTGTAAAGGCCCCAGATCACCAGGGAGCACCTTGGCTGGACCACAGCGTCTTTCACTTTGGTGCTGAGAAGTACCCAGGCCCCTCACCGCTAAAGCGTGTCCTCAGCTTCCAGGTACATCTACGGGATACCTCCTCAGCTGGCAGCTTCAGTTCCACCGATGTCCCCAGGACACCAGTGAGCCCTGCGAGGACAGGAAGAGGCATGAACACTGCATGTGGGCTCCTTGAATGAGCAATGGAGGAGCTCCCTGGCCTCCTGTGCCAGTCGCCAGCTTCTGGGCCACTCTTGGGACCTTGAGCAGGGAGGTCAATACTATTCCAAGGGAACTGCAGCCAAGGGAAGGAGGAAGGTGAGGCCCAAGTAGAAAGCCCCACTTCCTCAGTTCTGGATGGGTCAGGCCATCCACTCTCCTATGCCAGGCTCAGTGTTGGCTGGTGCCTGGAAACTGTAGGTGGGCATAGAGCAGGCCACCTTTGTCCAGGGAAGCCATTGCCAAGGGGTCCCTGTGCTCTTCCTTTCAGAGCCTCAGGATCTTTCTTCACACCGTCTTCAGTGAACCAGCCTGTCTTCCCACCTCGGCTGCGCAGGGTCTGGTTCCTAAGTTCAGCCAAAGGTCTGACAGGATGGCTGGTTTTAAGTCTGGCGGTCTTGGAGTCAATGACAGGCTGTCACACACCTCGGCCACAGCTACATGACTGCGACTGGATGGGCTCCAGGAGCCTCTGGCCTTTCCTGCCCCATGCCAGCATCCTCAAAGATGCTTTGGGAGGTTCGGGCAGAAGCACAAGCCGTGGGGCAACCTGCACCCTGTGGTGTAGGCAAGCATTTACCAGGCTCACCGATCATCTAGGGGTACTGGAAATACCATTTACAATGCCAAAGAGCCTGGGGAAGAGAAGCCATTCTGACCACTACCGAATAGGAGAGAGGTTTACAGATGCCATCAGCTGAGGCAGGAGCAGGTTCCGGTAAAACGATGGGATGGCCTCGGTGTCTCCTTTGCACCAGAGCAGGATTCCCTACTGGTACTTGCCAGCACTTTTTGTGTGGAAATGGGAGATGCTGGAACAGCTTCTTATCTCCCACGGCCAGCGAGTCACGGACTTGTAGCTGAGCCATTTCCAGCCACCTGCCACGGCACCGGGACTGCAGTTCCTGGATGTGGAAGAGTCTGTGGTCTCTGGATATGGGGTGTGGCCGCTGGCCTCGCAGGACACTGTGTTTTTGGCTCTTGCCGGTGGAAATGTTTTCCATGTGTTTCCCTGTGTTTACAGATCTGAGGGCATGGAATGCAGCCCGTGGTGAGGGAGCTGGTCTGACAGGGCCCAGTTACCAGTGCTTGGCCCAGTAGCAGGGCCAATGTGGGAATGGATCCCCGGGCTGGTATGGGCTGAGAGGTGGTCAATGCGCCTGCTCCTTGCAGCAGGAAGGAATATTAAAGAGCAGTGACCAACAACGTGGTCCAGCCCAACCTATGTGTTCCCCACAGGCAGGACTTCTGCAGTCTGAGGAGGAGCTGAAGGAATAGCATGCTTTGGTTGGTAGCTGCCTATATGTGCATCTTCTCACGACACACCAATGCTTGTTGAGCTTGCCCCCCGCCCCAAGTGGGCATAGCACCAGTTTCCCCAGTAGCACAGGGCTCTAACGTCACCCCCAGAGCCTGCTGTTCCGGCTGGTTGCTGCAGGCCACAGGCAGGTAGCGAAGGAACTGCAGTGGAGGCCATTGCTTAGCCCAGAATGTCTAGTCACTGTGGGACTGCTGCTGTTGCCGCCATCCTGCCTCATGCAGTTGCTTCTTCAGGCTAGCCACCTGGGGACACAGGAGAGCTTCAGTCAGGTGGGAAGTGACCCATGGAGAGTTACATCAGGAAGGGCTGGGGGAGGCTGCAGCCCATAGCTCCCAAGGGAGTGTGCATGGGCTAGAAACAGTGGGTAGACAGGCAGAAGGCCTCTTTCCATCGGATTAGGCCCGCCATGATGAACATCGGTGAGCATCCTATGAATAGTGAAGGGGATTGTTTTTTCTGTTAAGGCCAGAAATATACTTAGAATGACTGGATTAAAATAAGCATTGCTAGTGGGGCACGAAACTAAATTGAAGGTAATGCTGGGCCGTCACTTGGCCTCTCTGTATCTCCGTTTCCTTTTCATAAAATAAGGGGTTTTGACTATCAGTGGTTCTAAGGTTCTTATGACTCAGCAGCTCAGCTGCGGGCTGTGGCAGGGCTCAACACACATGTACTTGTGTGCGTGCACTGTATGCACACTCCTGAGGTTCTGTGCACACATGTATTTGTGTGAGTGCACTGTGTGCACACTCCCGAGGCTCAGTGCACACATGTACTTGTGTATATGCACTGCATGCACACTCTTGAGACTCTGTGTACACATGTACTTGTTTGCATGCACTGTATGCACACTGCCGAGGTTCTGTGCACACATGTATTTGTGTGAGTGCACTGTGTGCACACTCCTGAGGCTCAGTGCACACATGTACTTGTGTGCGTGCACTGTATGCACACTCCCGAGATTCTGTGACACATGTATTTGTGTGAGTGCACTGTATGCACACTCCTGAATCTCAGCCCACATGTACTTGTGTGAGTGTGCTGTGTGCACACTTTTGAGGCTCTGTGCACACATTTACTTGTGTGAGTGCACTGTATACACACTCCTGAGGCTCTGTGCACACATGTACGTGTGTATATGCACTGTGTGCACATTTCTGAGGCTCAGCACGCATGTACTTGTGTGAATGCACTGTGTGCACACTCCTGAGGCTCAGTGCACACATGTACTTGTGCGAGTGCACTGTATGCACACTCCTGAGGTTCTGTGCACATATGTACTTGTGTATATGCACTGTGTGCACATTTCTGAGGCTCAGCACACATGTACTTGTGTGAATGCACTGTGGCCACACTCCTGAGGCTCAGTGCACACATGTACTTGTGTATATGCACTGTGTGCACATTTCTGAGGCTCAGTGAACACATGTACTTGTGTATATGCACTGCAGGTACACTCCTGAGGCTCAGTGCACACATGTACTTGTGTATATGCACTGTGTGCACATTTCTGAGGCTCAGTGAACACATGTACTTGTGTATATGCACTGCAGGTACACTCCTGAGGCTCAGTGCACACATGTACTTGTGTATATGCACTGTGTGCACATTTCTGAGGCTCAGTGAACACATGTACTTGTGTATATGCACTGTGTGCACACTCCTGAGGCTCTGTGCACACATGTACTTGTGTGCACATAGTTATGTACACTCCTGAGGCTCTGTGCACACATGTACTTGTGTGTGCACAGTTATGTACACTCCTGAGGCTCTGTGCTCAGATGCACTTTCCCAACCTACTAAGCTGCTCACGTGCTGATGGTCTCCCCATGACTCAAAGGACAAGTGTGGGGCCACCACTGCTAGCTGCACACAACAGGCAGTCTCTGCATGTCCCTCGTGCCTGGTCAGAGTCATGGCTACCTCTGACTGGAATCATCCTCTCAGGGGGCAGGGCAGTGGAGGTCCAGAACCCATGTTCTACCACTCATTGATCTGTGGATGACCCATGGAGCCACTCATAAAAGGGCAGACATACAGCGTACGCTAGGAATTAAGGCTCCCAACAGAGGCCATGTGGTTACCCTTGGGGTGCCATGGGGGCAAAGGCCCTTCCTTTTCCCTTATGCAGCCCTGCTCAGAGGACAGGGGCTGCTGGCCCTACCTGCCTTTCCAGGACCATCACCCTCTGCTGGTGTATCTGCTCACGGGACTCTAGAGCCTGTGTGGCCTGCAGCTGGGCCTCGTGGAGCCTCTCGGCCTCAGCTGCCAGGTCCCGCTGGTGCTGGGCAGCCAGCTCTCGGAGCCACTGGGTGTGGGCCTGTTCCAGCTTGGCCATCTGGGCCTGGAGTGAGAACACGGGCACTGAGGGCTGCCGGGATCCTGGGGTCAGGTCCAGTGGGATGCCCCACCCTACCTTTGGGGCTGCACTTCCTGTCTTGGCCCCACTGCTTTCGGCAGGGGTGCTGGCCCTGGCCCAGAACCAGCAACAGACCTGGAGCTGGCATACATACATACTCAGCCCTCAGGTTTTGAGTCCAGGCCACCTGCTAAGGGTTTTGCTGGGCTGGAGCCCAAGCCACAGGCCCCAGGAGTGGGCCTTAAATCTGTGTGAACAGCATCCCAGGTTCCCTTGGAGGTCACTGAATTTTGATGATTATTCATCCTCCCTGAAGGTAGTCAACTGGAATGGGGGGTGTCCCATGGTGGAAGGGGAGACTGAACCCTCAAAGGAGCACAGGTTGGTATCAGGCCCTGGGCTTAGAAGACATATATGGCTCCATCCTCCAAGCATGCTTGATCCTCCATTCTGTTTCTTGTGCCATTCAGCCTGGCTCACAAAGGGCCTCACTAGTCCCCCCATTCCTAAAAGACTGTCCCTAGTGCTGACCCAGTTCTGTCTAGAGCTCTGAAGGGGTCTCTGGTGGATTTCACTGTTGTCTCTCAGTCTCAGCTTGGCACTTGTCACAGACAGTGACCTGTCTAGCTGCCTTTTCTGTACATGTGCCTGTATACACAGATGACACTCACAGGCATGAGATACACGTGGGTCCACCCCTTGAGGGCCGCACCATTTGAACCTGCCCCAGGTTTACCCCCCCCCCAAGCTTACATACCATAGAATGCCATTGACTCAGCTCACCTGCAGCTGCTGGCTCTGCCGCAGGGCCCCGTCTACTTCCTGCTGTAGGCTGCTCAGAGACTGGAGCAGTAGCTCCTTCTTAGCTCCCAGCATTGCTGTGTCCTCCTCCTTCCTCAGGGTCTCCTGCTCTGCCTGCAGGGAGAGGGAGGCAGAACCGTGGTGGAATTTAGGGTCTTTCTTGAAGAGGTGCAATATTAGGTCAGACTTCCCTCTGGAGAGTAAAGGGCGCTTCCGGGATGGAGTCCAAGTCTCCTGGTGGAGTTGGCAACGGTACTGCCCCCTATCTAGGTCTATTGGCATCTGCAGCCACAGCAGGAATTAAGGAGAAGGGGCAAGTGTCTGCCCTGTTTTGGACCAGCAGAAGTTCCTGTAGTGATCTTTGGTAAGGGATGTGGCATTTGAAGATCTATGTCTCTACCTCTTACAAGACTCCCTCAGGCTTCTTGAGCCCTACATGCCTCTATGCCCTTTTGCAATGCACAGGACCTGCTAACTGCACAGCCAAAGCCACGGATTTGACTATGGTCATTGTCACAGTGCCAACAAGCCTGTGTCAGAGTGGCATAGCTCTCTCTGCCATCCATCCTGGGACAAAGCCCTCTTAGTCACTCACCCCCAGCAGGGTGGATGCAGGCTAGGAGGAGTAGCCTGGAGGTTAGCTGTGAGACATAATCATTTTCCATGAGGAGGTCAGGGATCCTTTCACCTTTCAGCGGGGACCTCAGGAAGACAGAGCTGATGAAGAATCCTCTCCTTTGAGATCAGCAGAAGCCTACCTACTCACACCAGTAGCCTGGAATGGCTGCACGGTGCTCTTGGAAACCTAGGGGATCCTGGCTTTATAGTCTCACCAGGCTGGCCATCACTAAGGCAGGATTAGAGCCAGTCTGCCTCTGTGGTCACTGCTATGCCTGCCTGCTGCTGGCCTGCTGGGGTTATGTTCCGTGCCATGCAGCGCCCTTTCCAGTGCTAGAAAAACCCACTCTTGTCATCTGGGGCCTGGAGTCCACGCGAAACTCTCAGGGACCTTGGGATATAGTGAGCTGTTTGCACGGGCAAGGTTATAAGGTCAGGGTCTGAGCCCTAAAAAAAAAAAATAAAATAAAAACTTTCTTCAGCACTGAGAAAAACAAAGAGTTCTCTCCACTGAAAAGGGAACCCTGTTTCTTTAAAAAAAAAATCTAGCTACACTGCTAGAAATGCATGTTATAAAGAGAAGAGAAAAGTGAAATCCAAAATAAATAATGTTCACATCCGGGTTTCCCCTCCTGAGACACCAATAAAGGGTTTATGGGTTTGTGGGCCCCTCACAGCTGACCTCCTGCAACTAATTAGCTGTTCCTGCCCTCCCCCTCTCAGGCCCCAAGGACCCAATGCTGGCATTATGCCCATAGCTTGCTCTGTTACCCCTAGGCAGTGCCACCTCCCCTTGCCCTAGCAACCTCCGGGAAGGCACGATCCTACTCCCCGCCCAGGCTCAGGCTGGGAATAGCTCATCTTTCCCTCCAGCAGCTACAGGAAGACTCCGGTGACTCTATCCTACTGATGCCACCTTCCCTTTGTGGGAGGGCAGGTGGCCTTTTACGGAAAAGCTGGTTGGTGACTTTTGTAAATACCCTGGCCCTGCTGGCTCCTGTACTCTGGGCAGGCTGGGGTGGAGGGTGAGTCAAGAGGCCTTGAGAGGGGCAGCCTACCTTGGAACCCATGCCTGAGGCCCTCAATGTCTCAACTCAAACATTCCTGGCTCCGCTGTTTTGCAATGGAGACCCCAAAAGCCCTGAGTAATCAGGTTGCTGATGCTACTTGGCCAGCCTGGGAGATTTTTTTTTTTTTTTTTTTTTCGAGACAGGGTTTCTCTGTAGCTTTTTGGTTCCTGTCCTGGAACTAGCTCTTGTAGACCAGGCTGGTCTCGAACTCACAGAGATCCACCTGCTTCTGCCTCCCCAGTGCTGGGATTAAAGGCGTGGGCCACCACCTCCTGGCCAGCCTGGGAGATTCTGTCCTCCCCTCCGGTCTTCCACATGCCATCACCTCCTGACTCCCTGGGCCTTTTCTGTCTTGGAGAGGGCAGCGAGGGTATCAGAGCTCTGTGATCACAGACTAGCCTGGTGCTCTGTGAAGCTAGCTTGAATGGGCCGTGTGGCCGTGTCCTGCTCCTTCCTGCTTCTTTGTAGCACAGTGGACACCGGGCTGCAGCATTCTGTCTTGTACCCTGACTTGCGCTGAGCAATGACCATCCCTAGCCCTACACAGCATCAACACTGCCCCGGTCTCATGGCCTGCCTGTCTGCTCTGCTCTACGCGAGCTTAGTGGTACTCTATGAGAAATGTGGGGGCAGGGGTAGGCTATGAATATGGAGAGAGGTTTGCAGAACCGACACAGCACATGGCATCCTCAAAGTCGGGTGCTATTTCCACTGTGAGCAGAACCCAGGGACCCAGGAGGTAGCTCATTTTGGGGGCAGAGCTGGCCACAAAGTCAGGGGTGGTCCAAGGAGGGTGTTTCACCTCCCTCAACGACAATCAAGATGGGTGCGTTGCCACCACCAGAGGTCTCTACAAGGTGCTTGGAAGCTTTGGGTCCGGCTCTGAACTTGGCACCATTGCCAGGCCAAATGCAGACACTGAAGCCTGCTGGACCAATCTTTCCTTTCCCCGGCATCCGCAGATCTCCCCCCACTTCTTGCAGCCCTTCCCTCCATCTCTAGGAATCTTTTCCTCCTCAAAACCAATACCTGTATGAGGCGCGTGCGCAGCGCCGCGAGCTCCCCCTGTAGGCGGGCCCGTTCGGTGCGCAGGGAAGTGGTTTGCTCCCGTAGGGCTCGCCTCTCTGCCCGCTGGGTCGTTGCAGCTTCCCGTTCCCTGCGACTCTGCAGGAGCACCTGGGTGGAGAGAAGCTGCATGTGCGTGGGCCAGGGATGAGGATCCTTGGCCTCTTGGAGCCAGGCAGTCTGTCTGAGGACGGTCTTGGGCTCAGCTTATTGTTTTCCCCCAAACCTGCTAATAACCCCTCCCTCTGGAGGTGCCTACTGTAGAGCAAAAAAGTCAGTCCTCTCACTCCCTGTGATGTCCTTCCAACCGGCTTTCCTGCCTGTCATCTGGGAATTGGATGTTTCTGGGTCACTGCACGACTTCACACTTGCCTCTGGCATCTGCCTAGGCTTCCTTTTTTTTTTTTCTTAATGAAAACATTTAATTGTGGTGGCTTCCTTACAGTTCAGAAGTTTAGTCCATTATTTTCTAGGTGGGAAGCAAAGTGGCGTGTGGATAGACATGGTGCTGAAGAATGGCCTGAGGGGGTCTTACATCTTGATCCCTCAGGCAACAGGAAGTGATCTGACTCACTGGGCATTGCTTGAACATATATGAGACCTCAAAGCCAGCCTCCACAGTGACACACTTCCTCCACCAAGACCACACGGGATCCAACAAGGTCACACCTCCTAATAATGCCACTCCCTTTAAATGTATTTTTTTGTGTTTTTTCGAGACAGGGTTTCTCTGTATAGCTTTGGAGCCTGTCCTGGCACTTGCTCTGTAGACCAAGCTGGCCTCGAACACACAGAGATACACCTGCCCCTGCCTCAGGAGTGCTGGGATTAAAGGCGTGGGCCACCACCTCCTCTAGGCCTCCTTTTATACTGAAGAACATTTTAGGTATTCAGATGCAGCGTCTTGCCACAGTGAGCAGGTTCATTGCCTCTTGGTGACAGATAGACCCTTTCCTCCTGGGAGCCCTCCTCCTGGGGTCCCTTACCTGCTTCAAGGGCTCCAGCTGCCTCCCCATCTCTGTAAGGCTCTGACTGTGCCTGCTGCTCTCTTCCAGGGCCTGGCGCAGGGTGTCTACTTGCTCCTAGGAAGAGAGAGAGAGAGAGAGAGAGAGAGAGAGAGAGAGAGAGAGAGAGAGAGAGAGAGAGAGAGAGAGAGCCTGAGCGTCATGGCGTCTGCTGGAGAGCNAGAGAGAGAGAGAGAGAGAGAGAGAGAGAGAGAGAGAGAGAGAGAGAGAGAGAGAGAGAACCTGAGCGTCATGGCGTCTGCTGGAGAGCCAAGGACATGGTTGAGGACAATGTGCTGTGCTTTAACTGGTCAGTGGATGGTGCAACAGCAAAGGGATGGAGGACTCTTTAGATTTTCTTTGGCTTCATTAGGAAGGACAGAACAGGGGCTGGAGAGATGGCTCAGAGGTACTGAGTTCGGTTCCCAGCAACCATATGGTAGCTCATGACAACCTACAATGAGATCTGAGGCCCTCTTCTGGCATGCAGGCATACATGCAGACAGAGCACTGTACATATAACAAATAAATCTCTTTTTTAAAAAAGGACAGAACAGGCTATCAAGCACCCTAAACCTGTTCCTTGGGCCCCAACTGATGGGGAGTTGAGGGGCGTGTATGTATGTGTTCATAAGGCTTGTGTACATGTGTGTAGGTGCTTATCCCTATACATGGGGAAGCTAGAAGGATGTTGTACATCGTCCATGATTATTCTCCACCTTAGTTTTTTTAATTTATTTTTGTTTTATGTGTGAGAGTATTTGCCTGCATGTACACGTGTGTACTGCACGCATGCCCGGTGCCTGAGAAGGTCAGAAATGAGCTTTGTTTGATTGGATTCCCTAGAACTAGAGTTATGGAATCACCATGTGGTTGCTGTGAATCGTGTATATACTCGGGTTCTCCGCAAAGGAAGCAAGTGCTTTTAACCCCCAACCCATTTTTCCAGCTCCTCCTCAATTTTTGAGACAGGGCATCTTACTGAACCGAGAGCTCCTTTATCCCACTAAGCTGATTGATTAGTGTGTTCAGGGCTCCACCTGCCCCCTGCTCAGAGCTGAGGTCACAGACACACCCCTGTCTACTCTGTGCTCATTCACCTATCCCATCACGCTGGCCACCATGGTTTTAATATTCTCCTCCAAAATTTTGTTAGCATATCTCAGATATCATCTACCTTGTAAACTGACAAAACCAAACGAAAAGTACCCAACCAACAAACAGCCATCAAGCCCACACAGACATAAAGACCCACATGAAACTGATTCAAGCAAGCCCTCTTCTGCTGCACCAGAGCCCAGCCCCTCTAGGGAGCATGTGCACAAGGGAGGCCCAGCTCAGCTGGTAGAGAGTGTGCCTAACATGCATGAAGTGCCACGTTTGATCCCTAACACCAACCAGGCACGATGGTGTTTTCCTGTAAAGGAAGTACTAGGGAGATGGAGGCAGGAAAATTAGAAGTTCAAAGTCACCCTTAGTTAGGTACTGAGGCTAGCCTGGGCTACGTGACTCTAAAAAAATAAAAATAAAACCTACCAACCAGACAAACAAACAGAAACTACTGCAGGGCACAGATCAAATCACAGCTAGGGGAAACTGAAGAAGCTCAAACACCAACTGGTCACGCATTCCACATTCACAAAGTAGAAAACAGCAAAAAAAAAAAAAAGACCCCCCAATATAATAAAGAGTTGATAAGAGTTGAAATGCATAGATGAGATGCAAACAAGAGAAGAGATAAAAGTTGAATATTTGAAAAGACAGACTTTGAGGAAGGCAGATTAAGAATAACAGACTAGCAATGCAATGGTTAGGGACAGCGGGGTGTATGGGTCCAGCCACACCTCCACCCAGTAAACCATTGTGCACAGGTAGGCATTCATGTAACATATTTGCACCTGTGTGTAAGCCATCTGAGGTTGGAGGTGTTGAGCAGATGTATATACAGGTTCTTGGCATGCCTAACTCCCAAATGACACGCCGATCCAAAAAGTGGCAGAGACAAAGACTGGCCCGGAATGGAGATTAGCGTGCACAGCAGGAGCTGTAGGGTGGAGTAGGTACCCTGTCTTGAAAAGCTGATTCCCGTGCGGTTTCTATCCCTCCATTGATAGACAAGGGCAGGTAGTGCAACAATTCTTTTTATAGCATGAAATATTCTTAGCACAGATAAATCCAAACAAATGTGACATCACTAAAGGATTACAGCTGCAAACATTTGACAGCAACCGTAGCCTCATGTCTGCCGTGTAAGCCCCGGCAAACGTGCGCCTCCAAGGCAGGCCAGGTGCCTCCGGACTGGAACCCAGAGCTTGGTCCTGAGGCTTCCATATGCTGGCAGGAGAGAGAGAGAGAGAGAGAGAGAGAGAGAGAGAGAGAGAGAGAGAGAGAGAGAGAGAGAGAGCGAGCGAGCGCGCAGTGGGCTGTGTAATGCCAGTGGAGTTGTTCAGGGTGTGCTTGCCACAGGGGAGGCCTGGGCAGGAGTCCAAGGACTCTTCAGGCGCCGCTGGGACTATGGGGCTGTGACCTGGTGCCACAGAGAACATCAGTGGCCTCTCCCCTGGGGTATGAGGAATGTGCATGGGGTGGGGGCGGCAATTCTTGGTTCCTCTGCTCGAAATCTTATCCAGATGCATGTGTCCTGGTGTTGGATGGATGCATGTCCTCATGCTGCAGACATGGCTGGACATACATGGCTGGACATACATGGCTCCCTGGGGGTAGTCCTATGTGTCCTGTCATTCTGCTGGGTCCCTAGGACAGTCCTCTGTGTCTGCCATTCTGCTGGGTCCCCTGAATAACCTTTGTGTCCCATTTTTTTCTCTTGGGTCCCAGGATAGCCATGTGTGCCTTGTTGTTCATCTAGATTCTCAGGGCAGCCCTGTGTGCCCTGTTGTTCTGCTGGTCCTGGAGTAGCCCTGGCAACGGGAAGGAGTTGCTCTCAAACAAGAGTTGTACTGTTTGCATAGCACAGCCTACCATTTAATTAGAAAAATATGTTTTTAATTAACTTTTACTTGACAAACACATTGGCTTATGTGAACCAAGTGGTGGTCGGGGGAGGGGGGGTCAGTCCCTGAAAGTGAAAGAAGTTGTAGAAAATTCAGGGCTTGCTTTGGAATATGCCCTAGGTTTGGCAGAACCAGGAGGGCACTAGGCCAGCCCTGTGGGGGCCGGCAACTACCCAGCTGTGGCAAGGGGGGCGGCACGAGGAAGCCATAAGGGTAGCCATGCCCCCAGGTCTCCAGCTGGCCAGGAACAAATGGTACTTTTCTAGGTTATGGGAAAAAGATGGTATAATGTTGATATGTTCTGCTATAAAAGCAAAGTGAATGCTTCATTGAATCGAGAGGTGACTATGGACAGGGGAGAACAGAGAGACACAGAGCTGCCCCTGCACCTTGAGGGTGGGAGGCCCCAAGGGGAGATCTCCCAATCCCAGGTAACCTGGCTCGTGTAGATGAGGTGGTCCCCTGTCCCCCTCAGGACCCCACCCTGGCAAGCTTGAAGCAGAGGGCACCTCTATAACAGAGTCGCTGGGGAAGCAGGCCTTTGTCTCTTTGTTCCCAGGATGGAGGATCTTTGGAAGGGGGAGACACTACTCTGATGCAGGCCATCAGGGTTTCCTTCACCAGGGGGGACGCTGGAACCTTTCTCTGCCTTTCCCTTCAGCCTAAGATGTCAGGATGGAGTCAGTGACTTCCCTCTGGTTCTGCCCCCACTCTGATTTCCAACAATAGCAGAGGTCCGCTCTTCACAGATAGGCAAAGTTAAAAACAAAATCTGGAAGAGTGGTGTTCAGAGTGGTTAGCTATGAGGCCCTCTCACTAAAATGAGTATTGTTTTTAAGGTGAGGTGGGGCAGGAGCCAGAGTTCCAACGAGCAGAAAAATGCCAGTCACAGCCCAGGGTACAGGGAAGACTGATGACCCAAGTTCTGGATTTGGGGGAATGGTGATAGGAAGGAGAAGTGGGGGTCAGGGGCCAGGAGTCTAACTTAGGACCCAGGATCAGGAGACCTGAGTTTAGGACGAAGCACTGAAAAGCGAGTGATAAAGAAAAGGGTTATGTTTGTTGTTTGGTCTATTCTTGTACTGGAGATTGAGCCTAGGGCCTTGTACACGCTAGACAAAGGCTCTACTACTGAGCCATATCCTCAGCCATTTACCTGGACTCAGGATTTTACTGTGTTGCCCATGCTGTCCTTGAACTCCCTCAATGTTTTAGATCAATGCCTTTGAACTTTCAATTTTCCTGCATCAGCATCTGGAGTGGCTGGGGATACAGTCCTGGCTGAGATGTTTCTGAAGAGGGAAGGATGTGAGCAGAAGGCAGGGGATTCAGCTCTCCTGGTGGAGAAGGCTCACAGCAGACAGGCAAAGGAGATAAGAGGGGCTGTAGCAAGCCAACATTTTGGTAATTCACACAGCCTTGCCTGGCTTGGAGCTTTCTTGTTATATGAAGCAGGCTGCCTTTGAACTTGTGGCAATCCTTCTGCCTCTGCCTCTGGAGTGATAGATTCACCACCACACCCAGACTTGGCAACATATTTGGATTTTAAAGACAAGTGAGCCTTCTGGCTTCTACCTTGGAGAGAGCCCTAATAAGAAAAAATCTGCAAAGTGTCAGTTACATCTTTAAAAAGCACCTGAGATGCTGCTCAGAGAGCAAGAAACCTGAAGTCTAAGAGAAAGCAGCTCCCTCCCAGGAGAACAGGGTCACATGGTGCTTCCTCACCAGTGACGTCATCTGGAGTGGTCCATTGTAACCACATACCAGTCAGGTTCCGAGGGACCCTTGCATCACCCCGCCGTGCTGAGATCTATGAGGTCGCCTAGCAAGGCACTAGGTAGGGGGTGTGAAGTCTACACATTTGTGGATGGGGTAGCTTGCTGCTCAGCTCCATCCTGTCACACAGGAGCTTTGAGCTGGGATCAGAAGAGGAGCAGGAACCATCCTGAGTTGCCTAGTTCACACTACCCTTCTGTGAGTCAACCCAAGGTTGGGAGTCCAAGCCCTGGAAGCTAAGTGGTACTTGGTCCAGGTCCAGAACCTCAGTCTTAGAATGGCAAGGAGCTGGACTTGGCCTAAAAAGCAGGGAGGGCCTTCTCCAGGGCCTTTGGTGGGGATTCTGCCAGCTCTCCCCTGGAGAGGTCCTGTGTGCCAGCGCTGTCTCAGGGAGTGGGCTTCCTGCACGAGGGAATTTAGATCATGAGCTCATGGTCACGAGCTGCAAAGACCCGGGAAGCTGCTGGCCAAGTGCAGGCTGTAGTGACTAGAAAGCTTGGGTCTGCAGCAGAAAAGGATGTGGGAGCTCAAAACACAAGTGTGGGATGTGGTGGTAGGCAGCCACCCAAGGTTACTCTAGAGGACAGACAGACAGATCCTCGGTACCAAGACACAGGCAGAAAGAGTATAAGGAGCCAAAGATTCACAGGACATTGCCCGGCAGTGGGAGGACCCCCAACCACAACCAGCGATGATCACCCTTGAGACAACCCTAGGGAAAGACCTGAGAACTGAGGCTGGAAGAAGATGGGAAAACAAAGAATGAACTTCCTTCTTGTGGATAAGAAGAAAGCTCAGAGAAGTGAGCACGGACGCACTCCGAGGAAAAACTGCGTCTCCGAGGAAAAAAAGTGTCATCACGCGACACTTGTCAGGGGGGTAAACCCCTGAAAAGGCAAGGATGGATGGAAACAGCTGGGAATGAACATAAAGGACAAAAGTGCGGAAGCTTAGCTGGGCAGATAGTACAAAGGGGGCCCCGTCAGCCTTGGTCAGGTAGGACTGAGGACACAGCACTCAACCGGAACCGAGGCCGTTCTGCTCTGTGTGCTGGTGTGGGACACAGCCTTAAGAGGAGCAAGCCATTGAGTCTGTGCTGAAGATCCACAGAAACAGTTGATAGTGACAAAAAGAGGAGCTGGACAGATGGCTCAGCAGTTAAGAACCAGTAGCTGCTCTTATAGAGCGCCTGGGTTCAATTCCCAGCACCCACGAGGAAGCTTAGAACCATTTGCAACTGTAGTCCTATGGGATCCGATGCCCTCTTCCGGTGTGCAGATACATATGCAGACAAACATTCATTATGCATTAAATAAATAAATCTTTAAAAAATAGTGACAAAAAAGTCATAGTAGACATCAACACCCTTCTCTTGGCCTGGGGAATTCAGGAGAGACATCACATTGGCAGAATATCAGTCTTTGTAACTTTGTAAAGATTTAAAAAGCCCCCTTCCAAGTGGATAACCCAAAAGCTATAAGCTATTTTCAGCTCTGCTTGGAGAAAACACACACAAGTGAACATACATGTAAAATAAACCTGACCTAGCTCAGCAGGCCAACCAACCCTGACTTCTCTGATCCCTCATCTCCCGAGTACACCAATCCTGTCACTGCTTATCTAAGCCATTTAACTGCAACCAAGGCCATTGTCCCCATCCATCGATGTGGGGCTATATTAGGAGGAACATGCTACACACACACACACACACTGCACAGCAGCTGTGCCTAGAGGGGTCTTTCTGAAACCTCCTGGGCAGATGAGGAAGCTGCTCCTGGAGGCAGGAGAGGCTCTCTCTTCTGCTTTCTGTCTCCCTCCTTATAGGCTGAGGGAGGCCCCTGCCCACCTGACTGCTCTGTGCAGAAGTCCCCTGAGGGTGGCTAGACACCCCCCCCCCCATGATCCCCGTGTGGAGAGAGGGAGTGTAGGCCTGAGTGAGGCTGGTGACCAGTCTGGCCTAGTAGTTGCTTCTTCGGTTGAAACTTAGAAGCCTGTGAACCCATGATGTCGAAAGGCTATTATTCACTTGCCACTCCCTCTCTGGAGGGATACTTGGGGACAAGTGACCTGCAGTTTTTACTGAGTTCCCCCATTCCCACCCATGGTTGCCAACTTTATCCTTCTGGCAATCGGCCCAGGGGATCCCGTTTTCCCGATACTAGGTGGAGGCCTTCCAGCTGGGTGTGTTCTTCCCTACACATCTGGGTCTGTCCAGAACATTTGGGAAGGCCTCAGCTGAGCTCTAGAGTCCCGCCCCTGACAAGGGGAGGCCCAGCATTTTCTGCATCCCTTCACCTGTAGTCCATGGTAGAATCCCTTGACTGAGTGGGCGGAGGGAGGCCAGAGACAGGTCCTGATCTATGGCTTGACTGCTCCGTCTCTAGGGTTTCTAGGCCCCATATCCTCAACTAAAATGGAAACTCCAGCAGCTACCCATAGCACAGTACCCAGTATAGGAAAATGTACTTGAGTCCCAAGCAAACCCTTCTGTGTCTGAGTGTTGCAGAATAAAAAGCAGGCCAGGAGCAACAGCCAAGGGCCCCATGAGGATCTCAGAGCCAAGCAGGACCTCTTTGTGCCCGCTTGTGGGACCTCAGATAAATGGGTGGACCTGGAAGGCAGGAATCCAGTCCTAGTTCTGCCCCCACCAGAAGACCTCAGTTTCGCCAATCTGTGCAATAAGGTCTAGGACCACCTCAAAGGTAACTGCACTGGGGATGGGCCCAAGACCCACATTCTGATGACCATCTGGTTTGTCTGTAGCAACGTCCCAGGAGTCTTACCTGCATCCTCCGCCTCTCCTGGCTTGCAGCTCGTGTCCTTGCCAGATGCTCTGCTTCCAGCCTCTGGAGTGCCTCCTTCTGCAGGACCTGAGTTGCCTGGGCGCCATGCAGTGCACTCTCTGCCCTGCGTTGGCCTGGGGGCAAAGCAGTGTGGCTTGAGGCTCCCAAGCTTGGCAGATCCATGGGGTAACTGCCACTCGGTACTGCCCCTTCCCAGCTCAAAGACCGTAAGTAGATTCAGTGACTTGAGCAAGGGTCACCTGGGTGCAGGGATGGGAGAGGTTCCCCTTCTCAGCCGGGGTGCTAAGAGTGGTCCCCGGGCCTGGGTCACTGCTCCCTGTATCTGTCTTGCTTTCTCTACCCATCACCCTTCCCTTCTTCCTTCTTGGGCTCTGGGCTGCCACTCCCCCACGTACCACCTACCGCCTTTTTAATGGGGGCAGTAAGTTTAAAATAGTGGGGGGAGCCCCAGCAAAGGGCCTCTCTGAGGAGGTGACAAGGGGAGTCATGTGACTTTCTGGAAGGGAGGGTGCCAAGTAGAGGAGGGCACAGTTGCAGCTGGCCTGAGGTGGAAGTATGGGGGGGGGGATGGTGAGATTCAGCAGGTCCCAGAGGTCTCTGGAGTCCACCCTCTAATAGGAAGTCATTACTGAGAAAGGTGGTATCGAGTCATCCTGGGGACTGGGTACAGTCCCAGGCCTACCCCAGAGCCCTCCTGAGACCATACACTAAAAGTGGCCATGGAAGAGCCCCCTTATAGGAAGGAGAGATCCACCTTCCGCTGCATCTGCTAGGTCCCTCTGTAGCTGCTCCACACGGCTCTGTAGGTGGATGAGCTCGCTCTCTGCCTCTCTCAAGCGGCTGCTCAAACTGGCCACCTGGATGCAAGAGTTGTCCTAGGCAGAAAGAAAGAACTCAGCAGGGTGAGTTCTGGCAGGCAAGAGGGAGGGGACAAAATATTTACTAGTGAGCTGGGTGGCCAGGCAGGCATCTTCTGATCATATGGAACAGAGTTGTGAAACCACAAGCTGCAGGGAAGCCAGCTATGGTGGATGGCTGAGCTTACACACTAGCATTGGAAGGCATAAAGGCTGGCTTTGGGCAGAGCCTGAGGAGCCTAGATTTGGGGTCATGGATATAAAGTGGGAGAGCTTCCAGGGGTGGCCATAGAAGGCTGGAGCAGTAGGCTAAGGATTAGAGCTGAGAAACTTGCCCCCAGATCTAGCGCTGTGGGAAGGGGGAGCCCACAGAGAAAAGGTAGACAACCCCTGTGGTCTCTGTGATTATGGTCTGTCCCAAGCTCATCTGTTACCAAGGAAGTCATAAGGGGACAGCCACTGTGTCCCTGGTGGAGTCCTGGCACCAGGGGCATTGGTTACTAGGAGGGGGGAATGCCTCCATGTGAGAGACCATGGGGAACCCTCAGGTGTTCTGCCCAGGTGTGTACTGCAGTGTGTCCTCAGACTCTAGAAGCTTCAGCAATGTGAGCTCCAGGGCACTTTTTGCTGCCTACCCTGAAGGACAGAGTGACCCTGTGCCATGTGAGGCAGTTGGATCTGAGAGGTGGTGGTATTCCTGGTGTTTGTCACCACAGGGCAGTCTAAAAACTGACCACAGAGTGTTTCCCAGCATCTCAGCAGGCCCAGAAATGGAAAGACACATAGACAGCGGTCTTCAGTGAGTGATAAAACTCCTCCCTGCCTCCCAGAGTCCCTGAGAGTATATGCCCATATGGGTGTGGCAGACCCGAATCCCTTTTACCCGCTCCTGCTGGGCTTCTTGAAGCTTTTGCACCAAGTCCCTCAGGGCATCCCTGACAGAGGCCACATCTATTATCTGTGAGTCGGGGTCTCCAGGTACAGGTGAGGGCCATCGGGATGGAGAGTAGGATCTAGTAGGGGGACTGTCCCTTTGCCGTCCAGGGCGAGTCTGGGAGCTGCCTGCAGGAGGCGAGAGCCCGGGGAATGTGGGTAGCAACAGACACATAGATATCCTGCCTGTAGGAGATGGGAGCAAAGCTATGGTAAGCAAGACTCCTAAAATTGTTGGGACTCATCTGGCCTCCTTATTATGTGGGTTGTGAGGCCCAGGGAGAGGTTGGGGTACTCAGGTTGGGAACAGAACAGAGCCGAAATCACTGACCTGTTGTGGGAGAATGGGACCTCTCTGGAGAGGCCACGCGGCTTTGGCTCCAGAGCCCTAGGCCACTGCGGAGTGTGGAGCACAGTCGGCCCAGCTGGGCCTCTGCATTGTGCCTGGCACCCTCAGCCTGGGCCAGCTCCTGCTCCAGGATGTGGACCCGGCTACAGGCATTGTCCAGGCTGCCCTGGAGGCTGTCCGCCTGGCTGCTGGCCTGTCGTAGCCTCCTGGTGAGTTTGCGCAGCTCAGCCCGCAGGGTCTGCTCAGCCCTCTGGCTCTCACAGAGATGTCCCTCCAGCTGCTTTGCTCGGGCCTCCCCTGCTGCCTCGACTTCGGCCAACTTCTGCTGTAGCCCTAGAACCTGTAGGAAGGACGTTGGGACTCAGATGTAGGATCCGATATCTAGGCTGGTTGAGTCAATGGCTCAGCCAGGCCAGGAGGAAAACCCCTTCTGCATACCCCTTGAAGCATCATTTCAAGACAGGTTTTAGCTAGAAGGCGCCCTAGCTCTGTCTCCTAGTGTTTAGCAGGTGGGTAACCCAAGCCAGGTTAGAACTGCCGCCTCAGCATCATGGTGTATCTGTCAGCAGCAGAGTTCTGCTGGCAGCTGTCTGCAAAACTGCAGCTAGCTAGGACCACAGACTGGCTGCCCTCTCCTGCTAGGGACCCACCTCAGCCACTCTTCTTCACCGGCTGCTTCAGAGCCCAGTCATGACCAAAGCATGCTTTGTTATGTTTCTTGCCATGGGACAATACCTGTGCTCCACATACTCACGCATGCACGAGCTAGGAATGCACAGGCGTGGGGAAGAAGGAAAGGCAGCTTGCCCCTTCCCCTGAGCCAGCAAGGGGAGCCTGGCCTCATGTCCCTTTCTGGGTGACTGCATCCTAACAATGGCCCTATTCACAGAAGGAGGTGTGGGGCTGAGGTCATACTGGGTCGCCTGAGCTTGGGAGCTAAGCCCCCACATTCTAGGCATGACTGGTGTTCAGGATGGCCAGGCATGCAGTTCGGGTACGGAAGCTGGGGACTGCTGGGCTCAGAAAGGCCCCTCTGTCCCTGGAGGCATGTGGTGCCTTTAGTACACTGAACTACAGTCCTGGGCTGTGGTTAGACAGTGTCTTGGGAGCTGGCCTAGGGGCTGTGTGAGTCCAGGGTGCAGGGGTGTGTGTGCAAGGGTTGGGCATATGTGATGTGGGCAGGCAAGGTCTAGGCATTAACTCCGTGTCCTGAGGCCTCCCTACATGGCTCCTGCCCAGGACTCTGCCTAGCACCTGGGCAAGACTCGGCTCTTTCCTAAATCAAATCCGGGGAAATAAATGGGTTACAGCATAACCAAACCCCTTGCCCTCAGATCCCTTTTGCCCGCCCCTTGCTGCACATGGTCAGGTTGTCCCGGGGACAGCGGATGGAGACGGGAATGGACATCAGGCCTCTTTCCACCAATCCCTCTCATTGCCTCCTGCCTCCCCCACAGGTTTCCCCATGGACCTTGTCTCAGTTCCCGTTTGTATCAGAGCTCGGTGGTCCCCCTAAGAGGGGCAAAAAGCCTTCCTACCTCATTCTGGGCACCGTCACGGGCAGCCTGGGCCTCAGCTACCTGCCTCTGCAGCTCCAGTGCCTCCTGCAGGTTCTTCCGTCGCTGCTGTGCATCCTGAGAGACTTGGGCCCGCAGCTCGTTCACCTCCTTCCTCTTCCTCAGGTTCTCAGCTTCCAGTGTCCTTGTCTAGGATGTAGGGGCGGTGCTGAGGGGTCAGGAACCCAGCAGCCCCCATAGCCCCTGCCTCTTGTCACATGGTCTCCGTTTAGGAGCTGTCCACATTCGAGGGGCCTCAGTTCAGGTCAGAGGGCTTGGGATCTAACCTCTCCTACTCTGCAGACATACACGTGGGGCTCCTCTTTGGGGGTGCTGACTGGGGAGGGTGAGAAGCAGCTGTGTGTTGGTTATAGCTCTTCCTAGGGGAGTAGCTATGGCCAGTGTCACTCTATGGCTATGAGACAGGGACAGGGGAGGAGGACCTGGGGCAGCCTGGTTGGGTGGAGGTCCCCTCACCTGTCTGTGGCGCTCCTGGAGTTTCCGGCGGGTATCCGCCTGTGCCTGTTCCAACTCTTGCAGCCTGGTCCTTAGCTCGCAGGTGTCCTTCTGAGCTGCTGCTTGGGCCTCCTGAAGCACCAGCAGCTTTTGCTCCTGCTCCTCCTTGGACCGCTTTAAACTAAGCAGGCCACAGGCTGGCTGGACACTGGGCCCAGAGCTCGTCAGACAGACCCTCCCCAGGGAGATGCTATTCTTTGTGTGTGCCCTATGCGCTGCCTTAAGACCTGACCTCTGGAGGGCTCCTGTTACCCTTGACTCAGAGTCTATCCAAGTCTTAGTACCAAGAAGTGCACCCCTGTCCACTTTCACTTCTCAGCTCCTCTTTAGCCCCACCCTCTTTTACCTCTCTATCAACCCCCCAAAGACCCCTTGTCCGGCCCAGTCTCCTGAGCCACTCATAAGAACTCCAGTTCCCTCACCTGTTAAGTTTGCTGAACGGGAACTCCTTGAGGACAGGAACAGGTTGGCTTGGTCCTTAGCCTCCCCCGAATAGACTAGCATCTGTAGGCATTTTAATCTGGGTACCTGAAGGTTGCTTTCACTGTTTTTCTGACCCAGCTCACAGGTTACCCCTGCCCTGCACTCTCTCACTATGGCCTGGCTGAATAGCAGGGCTGTAGGCTCTTCCCATGACTACTATATAGGGTACCCGTCATACCCTGTCCGTACCTGGCCTTCTCTTGCTCAGCCCTGTGGATGGTGGCCCGCAGCTTGGTGTTGGAGTGCTGCAGCACGTCCTTCTCTTGAGCCTCATCGTCCAGTGCCCTGCGGGCCTCCAAGGCCTCCCTGCGGAGCCCCTCACAACTCGCTTCATTGTCCTGAAGCTCTTGGCGCAGTTCAGACAGTCGCTCATGGGCCATGTTCAGCTGGGCCTGTAGCCCCTCAGACTATGGGAGAAATGTGCTCTAGTGACCAGTTTGGGGACCCGTGGGTGTACAGGCAGCTGCTCCAGGGACCAGAGAGGATACAGGATTCTGACTCTAGCTGGATACCCCCGAGTCACCCAGCATTTGCAAGAGAAAGCAGGTCCCTGGGGTACAAGGCCCAGATAGCTTTCGCCCTGACTGTTCCTGGAGCTGGCTCCATGCTATGTTCACTCTGTAGAATGATGAGATGTGGACTGGGGTTCAGCAGGGCCTTCCTGGGGCATAGTTTTGTTTACACATAGCTTTGACTACTGATAGATCTTTTTACCTGCTAACCCAGGGCCTGCTCCTCCCTTTTGATACCTATACAGGTAGTGGGTCAGCAGCCGGACGCTTAGCACAAGCAACTACATAGTCGTGAGCTCAGCCACCCTCTCCAGCCTCTTAATAGTGAGGGAGACAGGGGAGGGGAGGGAGAGCTCAGACACCTGAGCTCTTCGAATTCTCCAGCAGACTCTGGGCTTCTCAGGCCAGGCTGCTCCATTGCTGAAGCAGGAGGCCATAAGCACCATAGGAGTCTCCAAGGCAGGGGTATGGATACCCTCAAACATAAGGGAGGCCACTTACTACCTCTGTGAACTGACTCAGGGAAGGCAAGGGGTCACAGTGTAAGTTCCCATCTCCTGCTGGCTGGCCCATGGCCCAGAGGATGACCCCATCATTCCGGAATTGAGGATAGGGCTTTCACACTGCAGGGGTACTAAATCCTGGTTTCCTGCCCTTGGGCATAAAGCATCTCTGGGCACCAGGTTCTATATGGAAGGGTCCAGAGAAGGGCCAGTCCACTCTTAACTCCCAGGCTATGGGATAGGGACTTGCTGAGGCCTCCCAGTCCCAACCTACAAGTCTGACCAGAAGCCTCAGAGAAGGCTCCATCCTGGCTCTCAAGTGTCCCTGGGGAGGAGGTGGAGGAAGCCAGCAGGGACATGTTGAGAGAGGAAGCCACAAGAACTCAGTGATGTTGAGTTGCTGGTTTGCCAAAAGCAAACCCCTCTCTGCGAGCTGTTTTCACGGGACATTGTCCAGGCCCCCGGCCGGCCCGGCTCCAGAGTACGCCCGCTGTTATTGTTGTTCTGTTTTTGGGAAGGGCCAGGGCCTCCCCACTGCTCCCCACCCACCCCCCACATGTGGGAGCCACAACCGTGCAGAGCATTTTCCGCTGAGCTCAGCAGAATCCACCCAGAAGGTCAAGGACCAGGGAGAGGGCCTGTCCATCATAAAAGGAGCTGCACTCATTTCCCGGAGTAGGGGAGATGAAAATAAGCAAAACAAATGGGGGAAGGGCCCCCCTGCTGCCAGGACGCCTCCTCCCCCGCTGTCCAGCACCCCCACCCACCGCCTCTTGAGGACAGCCATCCCTTTTGCAGGAATTTTACAGCCAAATCGCTTAATGTGATTATAATAATTATTTCTTTACTAGAAGTTGTATAAACAGTCTCTTTTGAAATTTCCTGCAGGGAGGCAACTCCAGAGCTCTGCAGGGAGAAGGGCAGCAAGGCAAGCAGGGGAGAGGTGACAGCGGGGTAGCCTGCGTGTGCATTCATGCATGCATGCATGAATGAGGGTATTCATGTGTGCTTTGTGCACACCCAAAGGATATGTGTGCATGCATATAGACGTATGTTTACACATGTATGATGGGTGTGCTTCTAAGTATGCATGTGTGTTTGCTCTTCATCTACATGCACATGTATATGCTCCTCGAGATCTGTGCTTTCGTATGCGAGCCCTGCAAGTGCGTGTGAATGCCTTAGGTGTGTCTATGCACATTGCTTAGTGTGCACATACCAGCGTGTATCTGCGTTCATAGATGTGTGCTGTCTTAGGTTTCACGAGATGTGCACATATGTGCATACAAATGGGAGGTTATTAACATGTAGGCTTCCATGTCTGTGTGCATATTTACATGTGTGTGAACCCCAAGAAGGTCTGTGAGAACATGCAAGTTCCCGCAGTTGAAAGTGGGGGAATTCTGAATCAACCTGACCCCCGGACACCTTTCTGCAATCATTGCTCTTTTCCACTCAGTCCCCCCACCTTTTCAGACTCCCGTCACTCCTTATCACTTTATGGGGGGCTTCCTTACTGAAAACTTGACTTTGCTGTGAGGTTCATATCCTTTATCTGACCAGAACAAAGAGCCCCCCTCCCCTCGATCCTCCTCTTTCTGCCCACAGTTTTGAAATTACACTTTGCTTCTCCATGTGGTCGCTGACCAGGCCTAGGCTTTGAAATCTGTTGGAAGGAGCCCGTTCTCTTTGGGGCCAATATAAACAGCCCGTCATGTTCAGTCATGCTCTCTTCCTCTCCCGGGCTCTTGGCCGGCCCCTTGGGGTGTACTTGGGGAGGGAGAGCCCCTCTCCTCACCACACCAGGCCAGCTGCCCTGCCTGCCAGCCTTGGCACACAGCCCAGAAGCTGTGAGGCCGCTTTGTCCCCACAGGCCCCACCTGGGTTCTGGCTGACCCCCCTCCATCCTCAATCCACATACCCTCCTGCCCTTGCCTCTCCCAGGAGCCCCCAAGTCCTGTCAGAACTCCTCAGAAACACCTTTCCATCCGCCGCCGGCCTGCTGGGCCCCTGCCTGGCCTAGCCCTGGCCTCTTCTGGCCCCGCCCAAGACTGTCCCCCATCCTGTTGTGATCATGTGACTCCCAGAGCCTCTGTGTGAGCATTAGGGCCCATGATTGTCCCTGAAAAATCCCACCACCATCCCACTTCTGCCTCTCTGCCCTGCATATTCTAAACTCAGCTTCATGCCTCCCCAGCACCACGCCTCTTGTACAGGCTCCCCATGGCTCGTTAGGTGGACAGATGTTTAGATAGCATCTCCCACCCCTGTGTCACAGTGGTCCCTCAGGCAGGCTTTGGAAGCCACTGTACAATGACAGCTCCCTGTTTCTGACTCCTGGTCTCTGAACTGTGTAGAGGTGAAGGTTAGGCTGAAGAGACCCTGGAGCCCATGCCATGGTTCTTATCAATTGTTCACGGCTTGTATCCCTGGGTAGCCAGCCTCTGACTGTCCCAAGAGGAGCACAGATGCTCTGTGGTCTCCATGGGAGGAGGCAGGACCGGTGGTAGCCATGACTGGGCCTCACATCTACCTGCAGCAAACTACAGCAGCTCTGCTTTCTCTTAGCCATGGCTCAGTTCTGTCCTGTCAAGTCTCTCAAAGCCCAATCTATCACTTTGGGCTAGAAATGATGCTAGGCCATGGCGTGCTTTCCCCAGCTGATGTCAGGAGCCAGGTACCACATCACCCCTGGTTGCCAAGCCAAATGGGGAAGTCCTTTGGACTCTTGCTGGTCTTGTGGTATCTTCCTTTCTCCTGCATCCTTACCCTCTCAGTACCGTCTCCTCACCTCTCTCCTCACACTGCTCCGCTCGGCTGCTGTCTCCCGGAGCTTTTCTCTCAGAGTTTCGGCTTCTCTCTGGTGGGTGGAGATAGCCTCCTCAAACTGGACCTGGAGAGTCCTGAGCTCTTCCGTCATGGAGGTGATGGTGGCCTGGGGATAGAGGGACCACTGGGTTTCTGGGAGGCTGGTCTGCAGCCCGACTGCCAGGCCATGAGATGAAACACTTGGTATAGATGCTCTGAGGTGAGGCCCATGCCCACGGCTCTTCACATTCCTTCTGGGATTCCCAAGCCATCAGCTCGTGGCAAATGAGTGGACAAGGCCTGGTGGGGGAGGGAGTGTGGTGGCTCAGGTGTCCTTTTCTGTTTAACAGTCCTGTTTAGCCCACTTTATATAGAGCCCACCACTGGGGTCCTGCCCTCAGTGGCACTACGTGGGCAAGCAATGGATCTGGGGCTGAACCTCTACCCCAGAGAAACTTTCTGCTACTCAGGTCGCCCAGGTCTGGCTGGTCCTGGGGCATCCACTATGGTCAATGTTGGGTTTGCATGGGGCAAGGAGGCAGAAATCCCAGTGCAGAGATGTGGAACAGGACTGGACACTGCTCACCACGTACGTCCCCGTCCACCTGGTACCCAGTTTTCTGAACTTTCCAGTGGGTAGGTGGCAATAGGGGACAGCTACTCTCCTACCATCTATAAATAAATGTGCCCTAAACGTATGTGTCCTACTTCCATATGTCGAATGCTGCCGTCATAGCCTGGCAGCTGTGCCGTGCCAAGAACTCAGTGTAGCCCAGGTCTGCTGTCCTGTTGCACCCACCACAGACTATTCCTACAGACTGCTGAGCACCCAGAGAAGACTGAGGTCCTCTAGGCACCAGCTCCTGGGTTCAGTCTGAAGCAGTTCCTTGTCCAACGATGTTACTCTCCTCACCTTGACGAGGCCCAATGTCCCTGGTTAGGATTCTTCCCCACTCACTCTGGGCCCCATCCTAGGCCTCACCCAGGTTCTTGCCCAGGGCTGCAAAGTCTCAGTATTTGGAAGAAAGCATTCTTTCCCTGTGATAGGCTACCGTGCCTGATAGCCTGGGGATAGAGACATCTAGGCAGGTGGTGTCAGGGCCCCTCCAGAACCTGCAGTTTTACAGTGAGGCACCAGTGATCTGTGGAGGCCCCACCCCCACACCTACATTCTGCAGGCCACCAACTGGGGTTAAGGCTACCATCTGGGGTAGAGACTTCCATCTGCCCCACCTCTCACTCTGGGCCTTGGCCCATGCTCTCCTTCTCAATGGGCACGTGTCACCTAGGATGGGCCAGGTCAATGGTTTTGTGCCCACATGGTCCAGAATTGCTTGCTCAGTGAGGTTGCGGTTCCCTCTGAATCTTGGGGACCAGCTCCTGGAGGCAATGATGACTCAGGCCAATAGGCCCCTCCACCCATGAGTGGCTCAGTGCCATGTCACCCCGCAGCTGGGGTTCCTTGGCTGTACTTCCCCTCTCTCAGCGGGTTTTAATTTCCATTTTCTAAGCCGAGGTGGCAAAAGAACCCTTAATGAGCTCCCGGAGGAGCCGAGCTGGCTGGAAGGCCTGGTCCCTAGCCCAGGGGGAGATTTGGCCAGCGTGAGAGAAGGCTCCAGAAGCTGCAGAGGCTGGTCTATGAGGAGGCAGCAGCTCCCTGGGTCTCAGGATGCTTTCCTGCCCAGAGGGCAGAGATTGGTAAAGGTGCAACTTGGAAAGAAGATCATAACCATAACTCCTCCAGGACCATGTCAAGGAAGTGCTGCCCAGCCCTAGTGAGGGACTGGGGGTGAGAGAGGACAGAGCAAGAGGAAAAAGAGCCAGGGGAAGCTTCTGGAGCCTGGGTACCACTTAGGTTGTCCTCATCTGTGATAGGGGGTCAGAGTATGTGTGCTGGGGTGGGGGAGTCATATCTAATTGCCACACCGTTTCCTACTGCACAGCACTGGGGACCAGCCCCTGCCTACTTCCACCAAAGCTACCAGACATCCTCCCCAAGGGCCTGCCACCTCTGTGTACCTGCCTCTTTCTCCAGCTGGGTGATCTTCTCTCATCGCCCATGTGGGTAACAAGAACAGATCTCCGAGAGTCAAAGACTGGCCACAGGAAGATTGGTCGAATGCCTTCCCACAACTGGGCTTTATTAGAACTAGCTTGAGCACAGCAGGCAAGGTTTGTGCTATATAGACCAGAAGGTGGGGAGATAGGCCTGGGTCTACTCCTCTTCTGGCTGTTGCCATCCAGTATATGGTCCAGCCTGGCCCTCCTATCAGTCTATATCAAGCACCAGGCCAGAAGAGTCTCAGTGCCCGTAGCCAGCACAGGCAGGGGCCAAGGCATAGAGAGCCATAGTCACTTGGCTACTTCTGCCTTTGAGATGGTGGTTTCTCCCAGCAGGAAACTTGGAGGCCAGGGAAACGTAAGACTCAGGAAGACACAAAGAGGGGGGTATACTTCTAGGAGCAGACAGAAAGGGGGTATTCTGGGGGACCTGTCAGGACTTTTTTGGCCCTACAGGACCAGGTAGTCGTCTGACCCTTGCCTGGGAACTGTCGTCAGTGGGGCTCACCTCAGCTTGCGCTTGCTGGTGCTGGGCCTCCTGGCGGGTCCGTTCCAGCTCTCTGTTAGCCCCAGAGAGCTCCTTGCTCAGCAGGCTCTTCTCTGCTTCCTTCAGAGACATCGCCTGGACATGAGGAGACAGAGAGCTTGTGAGGGAGCTGAGGAGTCGGGGAGCTCAGCAGAGCTGCTAGGGCTCCCTGTCTGAGGCACAACAGAATGAATGCCAGGTTAAGTTTCCTGTCAGGCTTACCAGCTTTTGTTTGCATACCCTGCCACTGGGCAGGGGTGGTCCTGAGCTCAGGCCTTTACTGGCAACATACTCCTTCACCCTACTCTCCCCTTTGGGGGTTCAACAATCCTTCATGCTGCTCCCACTTTTCCATGGCCAGAGGTCTGGTTATCACTGGACAGACTGTTGTTTCATGATTCCCATCGTCCCGGTTACCGCTTCCTACAGTGATCACGAAGAAGCCGCTGATGGCACTATACCCCAAGAATGTCTGTCTCACCAAGGGTATGAGCAGGACACAGAAGCCAGACTCTGGATGGCAGGACTGGAAACAGATTTCAACCATGTCCCAGTCGTATCACTGATCATGCCAGGCAGAGAAGTCCCAAGAGCCTTGGATACTGGCTCAGGGAGTGTTCTGGTTGGTGAATACAGACAGGCTAGGAGTGTGAAGGGCCAGTCCCACCAGGAGCTGCACTCAAACTGGTGTCCTGGCTTGTCCTGATTGAGATAAAACGACAGCAGCAAGCACAGCACATTCCTGATGATCCAGTCCTTCCCCTGACTCTCCGGTTGTGGGTCACAGCACTTCCCACACTCACGGCGAGGCTGGTAAGAAGTAGGGGTAGCAGGAGAGCACCCCTTTAGCTTCCAGCCACCATACATCTAACCCACGGCAGCTAGGATGGGTTGCATCGCTGAGGAATTTAAGAATGACAGTAGTCCCCGAAGAAGAGGTGGCAAGGCAGGAATGCCTCTCTTCATGTTTCAAAGAATGAAAAAACAAACAAGCAACAAACAAACAATCCTTTGCTCCTCACCTATCTATCCTCTCCCTGTCAGAACGCATGCTTGCTTTCTTCTGCCTCATTCTGGTAACCCGCCCACCCCTGGCCTGTGAGACCTTTGAGACCTGGGGCCTTGATTTCCATTCTTGCTAATGGACATAGCAAGAAAATACTTGTTGAAATCATAAGCAAAACTTCATGAAGGACAGAGTGTGACTCACTGCAGCGAGGTGAGCAGGTCATGGTTCAGGTCCATGCAGACTCTCTCTTCTTGCCTGAGGTCTCCTTAAGATTGCATTATGGTTGAAATTGTCAGTTTCTTCCAAGAAGTGTGGCGTGCGAGTTCTGCCTGCCAGATCTTCCCCACTGGGCACTGTTTCTTCATGTTGACATGAGGGGGAGCAGATGGTGTGGGCAGAGGGCCAGGGAGAGGCCCCTGGCTGCTGTGGTGACCACTGCCCACATGCCTGGCTTTCTGGATTATAGCATTGGAGCACAGTATTATTGTGGTCTTGCTGTGGGTCCAGGGAAACCATTGGAGGCCATCTTCTCTGCTTGTTCTCCACTTATTGACGCTCCTCTCTTCGGGCTATTTCTGAAGCCAGGAAGCTTCAGTCAGATGGGAATAGGTGGTGTGGCCTGGTGTGGCCTGGTGTGTGGTCTCAGATGGCAGTGAGGGACTGTGTAGGGCCTTGACCACTGCCCCAGATAGGTTGCTTCTCTGAGCATCTTCTCATACACCCATGGGGATGATGTCACTAGATCCTTCACAGGTGCAGCTTTTTCGGCTTTAAGCTCTCTGTGTCCTCTCTGAACTCAGCCTCATTACCCCAACCCCCTTCATATTACTCCTGCTTGGAAACATCTATGTTTTCCATTACTTGAACCTGGTACATAGGGCCTTCAGGGCTCCTCTGCAGTCCTTGCCATTCAGTTTGCACAGCTCCTGGTGCCCATACTGACACATGCATCTCAGATACTACTGAATGCTCTCATCCAGCCTCTTGCTCCTATTTCCATACCCTGCTCCTCTTGCAAGGCCTTAGCTTCCTCTAGTACGGGACACAGTTAAAAATCATGGCTCCCATGCCCAGAGTGTATATGGGCAGGAGACCAACATGTGCCCTTCTTAATTTCCTACTAGTCAAATAAGCTTATGAGGCTAGAATGTTGACAGTTCATTAGAAACACAGTCTTGTCACAACCCCGACCTCTTCCAGCCACCTACATTCTCTCATTGCAATTTGCGATCAGTGCAGAGAGATTATTGTCCTTGCTCACTGTGATGGCATGCTTGCGTGTGTGTACTTGTCTGCTCAATTTACTCAGCAATGAATTCTTAAGGACTTCCCAGTTCCTTGGAAAAGCCTGGGCTCAAGGGTAACCCAGTGTCTAGACTTGTGGCATGGAAGAAGGCTCAGGCTGGATGAAAGTTGTGTGGCTGGACCTTGCAGATAACAGGGTGACTGGCTGATCAGGTGACAGACACATGGACGAAGAGCTGGCGCCTGGGTAGAGAGTTGAATGCATGGCTAGCTGAAAGGGCATCTCAGTGGGTAGATCGATGGCTGGCCAGGGAAACTGACAGAGGGATGGCTGGGCAAGTTAATGGTCAGCTATGTGGATGGAGAGCTGTGTGTGTTTCTGGATGGCCATGGATGTAAGCAGAGGTCAGTGAGCATAGAAAGAAAGATGGATAGTCAAGTAAGTAGAAGGAAGATGGATGAGTGGAAGGACATTCAAGTGTGTGGATGGGCAGGTGGGTGGATGTGCAAGGAAATATATGAATATATAAGTGTGTGTGTGTGTGTGAGAGAGAGAGAGAGAGAGAGAGAGAGAGACAGACAGACAGACAGACAGACAGACAGACAGACAGACAGAGACAGAGAGAGAAGGGGTGGTTGGTTAGATGACATATGAACGTGTGGCTGGATGGTTGATATATGGGCATGTGGATGAACGGATGGGCGTGTAGACGGCTGGATGTGTGGGTGTGTGGATGTCTGTTCAGCAGGATTCCCGTGGCAGCTCAAAGCTGTGGCAGCCTGGAAGGGATGCATCTGCATGGGGGAAGCCTCACTGTGGCCCTTGTGCTGGGATCCAGAAGAGAATTGCCGCAGGTAAGGACCCCAGTTCCCATGCCACCATCACCTGCTGCATCTCATGCTCCAGCTGGAGGAGGCTCTCATCCCGCTCCTGCTTCAGGCTCTGAATTTCTCCCTCCAGAGCCTCCCTCTCAGCTGTACTTCTTGTCACCAGTTCCTTTTGCCGTTCCATCCACTGGGCAGCCACCTCTTTCTCCTCTGCCAGGGATAAACTGAGGGTATCCTGGCCAAGGCAAAGGGTAGGTTGTGAGGTCAGGACTGAGAGACAGGTAGACACTTGAAGCTCTGAGATTTATCAACCTCCTAGCCCTGAAGAGCTAGGGATCGGTGGTCCAGCAATCAGTTCTCCCTTTGTCTTCTCTACAATATCCCCCAAACAGAAGCTGGGAAGGGCCTCTCTGGGTCTCAGCATCTGCCATACCATAGTAATCTAGCAGATCTTAAGATGCTCCTGAATCTCTACCAAATGTCACTGGTACAGGGGCATGGACATAAAGATGGATGAGTATATAGATAAATGGCTGGCTGGCTGGCTGAATGGATGGATAGATGGATGGATGGACAGGTAGATGGATATACATATAGGTGGAGGGATGGATATATGGATATGTGTTTGGATAGACTGATGGGTGTGTGTCTATATGGGTGGGTAAATGTGTGGATGGATGGATGGATGGACGGACGGATGGATGAATGTATGGATGTGTGGCTAGAAGAATGGGATGGAACAAACAAGGCCTCCAGGGTCGCATGACCCTAGTGGTACAGTCTGACAGATGTGAAACTGTTTGGTCTCTATAGCAGCCGGAAGCCAGGATAATGGATCTTCAGGCTCAGTTCCTTCTCCAAGCAAGAGCCTGCTCAGCACATCAGCTGCCCCTCCCCCATACCGTGCAAGGCCTTCCCTGCCAGGTCCCTCCCCCTGTTCTTCCACCTATGCCTGTTGGGAGGACATGGAGGACACAGCAGACCTTCTCCCTCTGCAGCCGTGCCAGGTCCTCTCTGTGGGCCAGTCCCTGGCGCTCCAAGGCCAGCCGTGCCTCCTGCTCCTGCTGTGCAGCCTGCTGCTGCAGCTGTCCCAGATCCTGCTGCAGCTTTGTCTCTCGAACTTCCCAGTCACCTCTCAGCCGCTCCATTTCCACTGTGAAGTGTCAGGAGTGTCAGATCACGGTGCCCTCTAATCCTTTGAAGTCACCCACTTAAGAGGTGGTTGCCTGCTCTTCTAGCACATGGTGGGCAGTCCAAGCGGGGACAAAAATACTGGGAAAGGGTGCGGGGCAGGGAGCCACTATACCATCCCTGTGACTGCACCTCAGGTCTGAGCTCAGAGTAGGCCACAGCCACAGAGCAGAATGGGCCAGGCAGCCCCTGTACATCCCACACAAGCTCTAAGCCCTTGGGATTCCCCTTACAGGACCCAGGGAGGGAGAACAGCACCTATAGGGACTGAGTTCACCCCTACAGTGACTTGGGGGTCAGGGCAGAGAGGGTCCACCCACTGCCGCACCTTGCAAAGCCCTGCGAGCCAGCCGAGCAGCCTGGGCCTCTCCTTCTAGCTGCTCCTGCTGGGCCTGCAGCTGTGTTACCAGCTGCTGAGCCTCAAAGAGACTGTTCTCCAGAGAGTCCCTCTCGACCCTGTGGAGAAGCATCAGAGAGCGGGCACGTCACCCACATGGTCCCGAGGTGTCTCCTAGTTTGAACATGTAAAAATCGGTTGCACTCTACACAAAAACACGTTTCGGGCCAAATTTAAAAAAAAACAAATTCAGAAACAAAACAAAATAAACAAGTCATCGCAGAATAACTCAGAACTGTAAAAATAGAACAGATGCGGAAGATATTTTAATCTTCTTAAGCCTGACACGAAAGCCACAATTAAAGAAAAAATAAAGAGGCCAACAGATCTGGATATACTTAAAGGAGGAAAGGGTGGTTTTCCATAGAAGAGATTCCATAAATAAAGTTGGAAGGAAAGGGCAGGTAATGAAACCCATCACTTCGACTGCTAACTTAAGAACCTGGCCTTTAAAAATTAAAAAAAAAAAAAAGATGACAAGGGGAAGAATTGGAAGAAAACCTGTATGTACTATATAAACACAGGAGTGAGCATCCATCCTATGTAAAGCGTTCTTGATAATCATTAACAAAGTCAGCAAAACGAGAAAAATAACAGTTACAAAGAAAGCTTCAAATCAAGACGAAAGCACATAAAACGTACTTTGCCGTACCATGAGCGAGCAGAGCCCAGGGAAATTCAAAGTACAGCCAGGCAGCGTCATTAACCACACACCAGATTAGCAAAGCGCTGCAGGCAACATGCCTAGCGGCAGCGCAGCAGTGGTGGGGAGACTAAGAGTGCTGACTTCACCCAGGGCAAGACAGGTTGCTCACCATGGCTTTATGTGGGGCGGGAGCTGGATTTGATTGGAATGCCAACAAATGGGAAACTGTTGTAGGCATGGTGATGCATCTAACGCATGCAGCATCACACCCTTGGCAAGGGAGGGGTCGCCCTCAGAACAACCAGCAGAACTAGAGTGTTGCAGGCAGTGTGATCCACTGTGGGAAATGCAGCCCAGCTTTGAAGGCAGAGGCCACCATTCAGAGGTATATCTTGGAGCGAGGTGTCCCGCCCCACAACAGTGCCCACTCCCAGGGGTGGGGGTGAGGTAACTGCCAACAGCTTGACTTCCTGACTGTCAGCTGACAGCGATGTGTCAGCCCAGAGCCACCAGCATGGTTTGTCCCTGAGCTTTGGGGACACCACGAGCACCCCAATTTAATGTGCATCATAACGCGACATCAAGGTGTGCTCTCAATGGGCGAGGGAGGCCACTGCCCCTGACCAGTCTGAGAGTTTCACCACAGCTCCTGTGTTGTCCTGGAGAGCACCAGAAGCCTGCCAGGCCCTTCTGCTGTGTGAGGGAAAAGTTATCTGGGCCCAGGCTACAAGCTCTAGAAACCTCAGAGTCGGCCTCGCCATAGCCTGCCCCTCTTGTTAACTACACATTTTCCACTCTACGAGGGAATACGTCCTCTGCCGAGGTGTTCTTCTCAGCTGTGTATGAAGAACATCCTTCCTCTGGGCTGCCTTGAAGACCCCTCCTAGAACTGTACCTGGCTTTGTCTAGGGGACGTGATCTCTGACCCTCTGCTGTCTTTCTGCTAACCACCTGGGAATCTGAGGGTGTGTCCAGTTTCTTTTCCCAGAGTCCCAAGAGCATCTCACTGTGGTTGAGCTCACGAGTGGAAGCCTGGTGTTACAAGGGAAAGGCATATGTGGAGTGGGCCAGCTGCGCGGTGATGTACAGGTGTATACATCACGTATATATAGATGTAAACTTGGCCCATCTCACTGATGAGCAGCTAGTATTCCGTGAATGGAGAGAGGTTTGGTTCAGGCATGTCTCCAAGTGGCCCTGCCACTAAAACCAGCCATCATGGTACATTGGTGGTTCTCAGGGCTGCCATATGCAATGGCTCTGGGTCCAGAGGTCAAGCCTGGAGCCAGGGGAGTGTGGGGGCGGGGCCCTACCCATGGAGGACTCTGACCAGGCTCATGGAAGTCAGGACCCACTCTGCTCTTGCCCACCTGGGAAACTTCCCCCAAACTTGCCATTTGGATGTCTGCACCAGCCTTTATTCAGAAAGTTTGGTTCTGAGAAGTTAAAGATCTGGGTCCCTCTAGTTCCCCATGGCCCTAGTTTCTGGAGTTCCCGGAGGAAGTCAGCCCTCCATGGCTGAATAAGCTCTAGAGAGAGAAAGCACCAACCAGCCTTGGGTCCCTGCAGAGGCTGTGGGACTAGTCTAAGCCACCACTGTTCCTGCCTCTGTGTTCCCACTCTAAGTTTTGGATGTTGTGGGCTTCCCCGACCTCCACTGTCAGGACCATGGTTCCCTGGGTGGACCCTTCTCCAGGCTGCAGTTTTGTCTCTCTGGTTCCCAGAACTGTAAGGGAATAGCCACTGGATAGAAGTTCAGGCAGACTCTCTTGCTACCTCTAGGTGTCTCCCTGGGAATGAAATCTCGGAGGCACTCAACAGACAGAGGAGGGCAAGGATCTCTGAGGTCCTAGAAGCTTCTAGACACAGCTGACCTGAACTCCTCATTCTTCAGGAAGAAATTGCATATCTTCCTTCTATTGGTCTGAGCTGAGTTTCTGGTCTCTTAGGGTTGCCCCTGTCTTCAGGAAGGTGACCCCAGGGCACCTCATCTAATACTGAACCATCTCAAAGGCGCATTGCCTCCTCTTTGTACAACCCATAACACCATATGCTGACAGCAGACATGTCCTGTCCTATGCCTCTATGTCTATGTAGCACCCCTGAAGTCATAACCCCATGAGCTGTCTGAAGGCAGGATCACGAGAGGTGTGCCCCGACTAGCGGTCTCACTGGTACCTCAGATCGGCTGCCTCCTTAGTCACAAGCTCACTATGTCTTTCCAGGGCTTCCTGCTTAGCCAGTAGTTGGGCCTGCTCCTCCGAAAGAGTGTTCTTCTTGTGGAGAGCTTCTTGCAGAACGTCCATCTGAGCCTCCTGATCCTGCAGGCTCTGTGCCAGCTGCTTCTCCAGGGCCTGTTTCTTGCAGGTGACCTAGGGGAGGAAAGAGGGACCGTGGGACAATGAAGAGAGTGAGCTAATGGGAAGAAGCTGCAGGAGGTGAGAAGGCATGGGAAGAGGAATGCTATGCAGAGTGGTATGGAGGTGACCGTAGAGAAGGTGGGTAGACATGAGAGGCATCGACACCCATCAATTCACGTATGGACACTCATCAAATTGCATATGGACTTTCCAACAGAGGGAGCGGCCACTCTGAAACCTTGGTGCACTGTGACGGAACTGGGTGTTTCTAGGTAAGAGCCAACTGTCAGTCTCAGTGGCAACCTTTGCTAGACTGTGAGTGCCCAGGGAGCTGGATGTGTGGTGTAGGGGTACGGAAGCAACACAGAGTGGAGCCTAGTGTTTCCACTAGGAAGTTCAACAGAATCCAGACAAGACCTCTGGGAGCCTTGGAGCTGCAGAAGCAGCAGTGTTTAGAGCAGCGGGGCTCTTGAGGCAGGGAACAGCCACTTGGGCCTCTTCTCTCCTTGAGGCATTTGCTGATTTGTAGTTTGGGTTGGGACGATTCTGAGGAATTCAGTTACCAAGAACACCCCAAGTCTTATTTGGTTCCATTGTCCACAGAGGGCTTGACTTGAGTTGTAACTGTGAGCCAACTAAGGACCACTCCTGCAGAGTAGGAGGCAGGATCTAGGTCAAGGAAATGGGTTACTAGGAACAGGCCACAGTACCTTTTGTCATTATTTCCTTGCTTCCTGACTTCTGTGACATAATTGTCACTACTTCTTTTTCTTTTCCGTCTTCCACATTTTTATGCCAACATGGTATTCTGTCTCAAAACTGGCCCAGAAATGTAGAGCCAAATGACCATGGCCAGAACCCCCTGGAAATCAGGGTCCCAAATGCAAGGCACTCTTAAATGTCCTTGTCACTCTTTTATTGCTATGAAGAGACACCACAACCAAGGCAATTCTTATAAAAGAAAGCACTTAATGGGGGCTTGCTTACGGTTTAGAAGCTTAGTCTAGTATCATCATGGCAGGAGCATGTAGCACTGGAAAAGGAGCTGAGAGCTACTGATCCTCAGGCAGAGAGAGAGAGAGAGAGAGAGAGAGAGAGAGAGAGAGAGAGAGAGAGAGAGAGAGAGAGAGAGAGAGACTGGGCCTGCTTGGGCTTTTGAAACTTCAAAGCCTGCCTTCAGTGACACACTTCCTCCAACAAGGCCACACCTCCTAATCCTTCTAATCCTTTCAAACAGTTCCACTCCTTAGCTACTAAGCATTCAAACATATGAGCTTATGGAGGCCATTCTCATTCAAACCACCACAACTAATATGTCAGATGCTTTGCCACAATGACAGGACAGTAACTCACCCAGCAAGGCAACCCAAACATGGGGGTCCCTTGAAACAGGGCCTGGTCAAGTGAAGATTAGCATGGAAGACAACACGTGTTAGTTCCCACCCCACCCTGCCCACCTGTGTTTCTCACACTCTGATGATACCGGAGTCACCTGGAGGGTAACTGAAACACATATTTCAAAGTCTTACTGAGGGAGTGTCTGACTCGGTGGGTCTTAGATGGTCACAAAGCTTGAGTTGTTACATATTTTGAGATCCATGAAACTGATAGGAAATGGATGGAAGGCTTCAACCAAGGCCACATGAAAACACAGAAGGCAAAATTTTGTCCTTAGGAAAACTGCAGGACATGGGAAATACTGATTGTAAGATAAAGAAAGCCTGGCCTGGTGGCTCCTTCATATAATCTCAGCAGTTAGGGAGATTAAGGAAGGAGGGTTGCTACATTTGAGGCCAAGGTGGGCTACATAGTGAGTTTCTGGCTACTGTTTCAAAACCAAACCAAAACAAAAGTCCACCACAACAAAACAGAGCAATGATTAAAAATGTAAAAGAAATTTGTCAAAGTTAAATCTTTATGTTCTTCAAAAACACCATTAATAAAATGGAGCTGGGTGGTGGAGCACACCTTTAATCCCAATACTTGGGAGGCAGAGGCAAGTGAATATCTGTGCGTTCAAGGCCAACCTGTTCTACAGAGTGAGTTCTAGGACATCCAGGGCTACACAGAGAAACCCTGTCTCAATAAACCAAAAAAAGAAAAAAGAACAAGAAAATGGAAAGATAAGGCACTAGCTGGAGAAATCATTCACTGTACATCTGTCTGACCAAGTACTTGTATCCATATATATATGAAAAACTCCTACATACACCAAAACACAAAATCTACATTTACAAAACATGCAAAATCCTAAAAAAGACACAAATTCAACAGGAGCCTGAAAATGTGCCCCAAAACACCACTAGTTACCTTGGAAACAGGACTCAAAGCCTTAGCATGTAGAATATCACACAGAGAAGAGCTTAAAAAGTCAAACAGGTGATATCAAACGCCGACGAGGTCAAGGAGCAGCTGAAATGCTAGAGCCACTTCTGAATCAGCACACTCCTTCCCAATGACCCCCTCATCTTCACTCTTTGTATTTGCTCAAGAATACTGAGGAATGAGTATACAGAGGTTTTCACGAGTCTTGTGTCTCCTGCCCAAGCCAGAAATAGCATAGGTGTGCAGAAGCAGTGAGGAAGGAGCTGTGTTTATACCTACCACAGTGTGCAGTTATGTGCAAAATCAAAGAGCTATGCTACATGCACTTACATGGATGAGTCTTACAGGGTGTGTGGAGAGAGAGAACCTTGGTACAAATGACCCACCCAGCCAGTGTAGGGTACTCCATGTCGGACCAGAGGCTCCTGGGACTTTAGGAATTTGAGCAAGAACTGGGTAGCCTATGAGGGAAGCTTTTGGACTGGTGACTGGTCATCCACAGGGCATACCATTGTCAACTCATTGTCCTGTCTGTCACCAATACTGCATACTGATTATACCTTACCCAAAACGGGAACATTATAAGAATAAGGGCCTGAGAATGGGGAGAGGTCACACTGTCCCACATGAAACAAGGATTCCTGGATGTCATCAGAGGTCTGAGACCCACCAGAGACACAGTTTCTGCACAAGATGTATTGTAAAAGACCAAAATGGCTTCAGACTCAGTCCACACTGAGTGATTCTCCTATAGCTCAGTGGGTGAAGAGTACTGTGGGATAATGGTCTTGTATCCTGTAAAGATTTGTCACTTGTATTGGTTTAATAAAATGCTGATTGACCAGTATCCAGGCAGAAAGTATAGGCAGGGTGACCAGACTAGGAGAATTCTGGGAAGAGTAAAGGCTCAGTCTGCAGTCACCAGCAAGACGCAGAGGAAGCAAGATAAGAATGCTGTACTGATAAAAGGTAACATGACACATGGCTAAACATAGACAAGAATTATGGGTTAATTTAAGTTGTAAGAGCTAGTTAATAATAATTAGCCTGAGCTAATAGGCCAAACAGTTTATAATTAATATAAGCTTCTGTGTGTTTTGTTGGGACTGAATGACTGCCGGACTGGGCAGGATAGAAACTTCCATTTACACCTGAGTTCAATCCCATAGCCAATGTTGAAAAAAATCTGAGCATTGTAGTATGCTCTTGTAGTCCCAGCACTGGGCAGAGACCGAGGAATCCCCCATGGTCACTGATCAGCCTGTCTAGCTTAGTGAGCTCCGGAGCAGCAAAAGATCCTCTATCATGAACAAGGTGGAAGGGGCTGGAGAGTTGGCTTAGCTGTTAAGAGCACTGGCTGTTCTTCCAGAAGACCCTGGTTCGATTCCCAGCACCCATGTGGCAGTTGACAATTATCTGTAACTCCAGTTCTAGGACACCCTCTTCTGGCCTCAACAGGCACTGCATGCAGGTAGTGCACAGACAGACATGAGGTCAAAACCCTTAAACGCTTTAAAAAAAAATCAAAAAGAAAAAAAAAAAGATAGATTACATCTGAGGTTGTCTTCAGACCATCAACACGGATATATGCACTATGAATGCACACACATGTGCATGTACATCTGTACATAAACATAAAAGAACCCCCCAAAGATATCCAACAACCAAAAGACAGGAACTAAACAAAAACACAGATGTTTAAACGATGAGCAGCAGGTGAGTTCAACTGTGAACACACAGACCAAGTCCCAGGGGCCAGGAGCAGAGCCCCATCCCAAACGTGGAGAACAGGTCTGACTCAAATCTCCCTTCTACAAACTCCCTTCCCCTGCTCCTGAAGCTCCCACAGGGATCGCATATGCTGCTGGTGGCTCCTCCATCCTGTAGGTCCTGATAACCTCAGTTCAGGCCCCCATGCTTGTGTACCCGGCTCTTTATCCCCTGAATCCTCTCTTCAACCCTCTTTAGAGGTACAACCAGCAATAGCAAGACAGATGTATGACTGCTCACTGCCTGGTCTCACCTGGTCCACCTGCTCCCGAAGCTGGGCACTCTCCTGCCCGAGCAGGGCCACCTGCCCCTCTAGATGTCCCTGCTTTTGCTCCAGGTGCCCGCAAGTCTCCTGCAGACTTCTCCGCTCAGCCCTAAGGAGGCCTAGCTGCTGCTCTGTCTGTGCCATCTGCTCTCTGACATCAGCTTGCTCCTGTTCCAGAATCTTCTGCTGCTCCCGAAGCTGGTCCCGCTCCTGCTCCAGCTGCAGAGCAGGTAGGAGGACATTTAATCTGTGGACTGCACACCTCTAGTCCCCACAAGCCAGCCACCCATGTAGGCCTTCTATGGAGATGCTGTGACCCCTCCTTCAGGGCTGGCCAGCATCCGTGGTTAGGGTCTACTTCCCATCTCTAGCACCTACCCTTGGGATGGTGGTCTCAGTCCAGGTAGGAAGGCATTCTGAGGGATCCATGACAGAACAAGCCCACAGAGGAGGTTCAGGGGCACCTTGGGGAAACTGAGGCCTTGGCTCTTGCCTTACCTGAAGTACCAGATGGTTTAGGGTGTCTTTGTCCTGGGAAAGCCCTTCCACCAAAGTAGTCATCTTGGCCAGTGAGTCCTGATGTTCTATGCCTTCTGACTTCAGCCGTGCCACCATGAGTTCCAAATCAGCATTGCTAGATTCAGCCTGCGAAGGCCTTGTGGTCACCCAGAGTTGGCTCAGGGGAGAGGCTTCAGATTCTTCCCAGGAGAATTAAGGTTCTGACTAGAGTTGGTGATTGGTGGCCTAGGGAGGATTCCCTAGAAGATGTGGCCAGAAGGGTTGGGAGGGCAAGGTGTCAAGAGCGAGGTGTACAAAGGTGGTGACCAGGAGCTCTGGTAGTGGACCAGGCTGTGTGGGTAAGGACAGAGGCAAGGACGATGTGTACTGGGGCACATACCCGGGCCAGGGCATCACGCAGGCTCTCCCTTTCAGACTCCACGATGTCCCTCTGCAGCTGCATTGAGCTTAGTGCCTCCCAGGCTGTGGCCAGCTCCTTCCTGAGCCCAGAGACCTTCTCTTCCAGCTGTTCCAGGCGACCCTGACTGAGGCCCAGGGCCAGAAGGCAAAGTCGGTGGTCTCTTCAGAGATGCCCCCACAAGACTTATAGGCAGGGAAATTCTAACAAACCCCTTTAAGCCCAGGGAGCCCCAAAGCTGCATGGTGCCCCCTTGAGAGCAGCCTTTGGCTGTGTGTCTGGGTAAGGTATTAACATGGGAGGTTTGTATACATAGGGTCAGGCATTGGGCTGATAGAGGTGTGAGGATATGGGCTGTGTGATACCCTGCCCGCCCCCTGCCCCTGACACATTGTTGGTGTCTCACCTGTGGTCTCACAGTCTAAGGGACCCTGCCAGCCTGCAGCCCCTCTAGGACCTACCTGGCCTCCAGCTGGCGCAGGCTCTGTTCACTCCGCTGGGTCAGCTCGGCTTTCTGCTCTGCCCGCAGCAAGAGGCTTCTCCGCAGCTCTGCATTTGTGACCTCCAGCTTCTGTGTCTCTGCCTCCCGAATGTCTGCCTTTGCTCTTAGCTCCTTCATTGTCGTCTCCAGGGCGGCTTTCTCCCTGGGAGCAGGAGCAAAGGGAGAGGCTGCCTCGAGCCATGCTTCAGGGGGGAAGCCCCTGAGGTTGGCAAGATTTACTGGAATGGGGAGGGTGGTCAGGGGTGAGTGGATATGGATCAATAGGGTATGTGTCCGTAGAGGCTGGGGTGGGTGTAGATCCTCAGGGGTCTCAAAGGCTGATGGAGTTCAGGGAAGAACAGGAAGAGGAGTTGACACTGTGACCCAAAGCCTCAGGCCCTCACTAGCTGGCTGAGATGACCTGGCCAATCTCTGGCTAGACCAGCCTTCCCCTTCCCTTGCAGGAGCTTAGGGTCCAGCTCTCTGCCACATAGGCCAAGTCTGGGCAGTCGTCATAGCTCTCTCTCTGCACACAGGTAATGTCCACCCCATCCTTGCAAGCCTCCACCATAGAAGCGACACCTCCCTGGCTATCATCTACCCAATCTGTCCCTCGGCCCTCGAGTCTACACGCCTGTGGGTCCTGAAACCCCTGTGCAGTGGCCATGGAACTCTGGGTGCCTAGCCACGCTTCTCTTACCCTGTCCTCTGAATATCAGATCCCATTTCCTGAAGGTCATTTGGATCTGACACTGCATGGGCCCATTGTGTCCAGCTGATATCCTCCCAGCATGCCCCCTGCCGCTTCTGCTCTGCTCCAGCACCCCAGAGTCACCCCATCCCACGTGGCCTCTTGTGGCCTCTGCTTTTGGCGATGTGGATAGACCTCCTTCTGTGACATGGCCCCGCCTGCCCAAAGGGCTCACCGAAGTCTCCCTATAGACTGTCCCACATAGTGCTGCCTTCCCTCTGGGAAGGCCTCCCTGTCCTCTGTGATCTCATTACTGCTGCCTTTGGGTTTCAGCCCCTGAGTAAGGCTGCCCTGATCTCCCACCCCTGTGCCCTCCTGCTCTGTGTCTCTCCAGGACAGACTGATTCATACTCTTTTTGTGTGTCACTACACCTAAGGTAGTCTGCTTGGAGGAGCTGTGGAGAATGTGTGGTCTGTCCCCAAATCGTGGTAAAGGGAGCATAGTTGTCCCTGCTCCCTGGGGCATTGTACATCTCCTTCAGGAAGGTTTCCAGACTCATGGCTAACACCTGGTTCTTACTCAGCTTGCATCCAGTAGATCCCAGAGATTCCCTGTACACACCATGGCCCAGGTTCTTTCCAGCCCCAGGTCTAAGAGTCCTGTGTAGAGAGTATCCTGAACTCTATTGTGGCTGCAATGGAGCCATGGGAGCCACAGGGTATGTGGGGAGTGGGGTTCTTTTGGCCATGGTAAAGGGTCACCGGTAGAGAAAGGTCATCTAGAGGGGAGTCTGGGGCAGGGATGGTAGGAGGACAAAGGCTGCATGAGGCCAGAGCTTCTGGGGATGGGATATGGGCCTGGGCCTGCAGAGAGCTTAGTGCAAGTGCAAACGGTGCTTGTGATGTTCAGGGAAGGGAAAGCCAGATCAGGTATAGTATAGGGGTCACGGAAGAGGGAGAGGAGCTACTCAATCCAGGCAAAGGGGTTGCAGAGTGAGGGGTAGCCTGATCACCAGAAGGTCTTCCCTGGAGATATGGCGTTTTCTCTCTCCTCCTGTGAGAGCTCACAGTACTGCCCCGTCCCACCCTGCCGCTCCTGTCACCTTTCCAGGAGATGGATAGATGACTGGCAGTGCTGTGCCTCCTGCCTTTGCGCCTCTAGCTGGCCCAGGAGATCCTCGTGCTCCTGTGCCCTATCCTGCAGAAGTCTCTGGGAGGCCCGCAGCTCCTGCCGGTACCCAGACAGCTGCTCCCGCAGCCTGGCTGCCTCCTCCTGGGAGGACTCCAGCCTCAGACGCAGCTCCTGCCGGGGTAAAAGAATCATAGTGAGCACCAACGGCCATCCAGAGCTCCTCAATTCTCTCAGAAAGGCCTCCCGACCCCTGAAGCCCCTTCCCAGGCTTTGGAGCTCAGTCAGAGGCAGGCTCGATGGAGACCTGGCCACCAGCCCAACCCCCACCCCCCGCACCAGGGCAGGTTGTGAAAAGTTCCATAAAGGTCAAGATTTGTGGCTCTGGTGACCCGTGGAACGTGGTCACTACCTGCTCCCTCTGCTGCCGCCTCTCAATGGTGGCTTGCACAGCCTGAAGTGCAGAATCCAGGCGGCCTGGAGAACCGCTCAGTGTTGGGGACATATGCCGGTGAGGTGGCACAGGACGAGGGGGGCTTCTCAGTCTTCCCTGCACCTCCCTGACTTCACTGCTGCTGCTCCAGGTCAGCTCTGGACACAATGCATCTGACTGGGCCACCTTCAGGTCATACAAAGAGGAGAGAGCACAGGGCCACCATTAAACAGTACCTTCTGGATGAGGATCAACTAAAATCGATGCTCCCAGAGGCCTTCTGCATCCAGGAAGAACATAAGGCAAGACCATACCTCCTTGATGCTGGCCAGGACACGGTGCAGGGCTTCAACCTCATCCGTCAGTTCATCTACCACCACTTGGCCCCCACTGCGCTGGGATTTCTGTGGACAGAGAGCCCTGAGCCTAGCAGACATGACCCCATGGTAAAGCACCCCAGTCTCCCACCCCCACAAACCAGTCTCTGGATGTCCGCCTTGAGTGTCAAGATGGATCTCTCTCCTTCTTCCTTCTGCTTAGAGAGCTTCTCTACCAACAGTGTCTGCTCTGAAAGTCTGGAGAGAGATGGGGTGATGATAAGGGACCCTGAGGGTGCAGTGGGCCCATCAGGACTCCTCCCGATGGTACGGCCTCCACACAGTGCTAAGGCTATACCTCAGTCCTTGTCCTGACTGGATGCTTTCTCTGCTGTAGAAATCTGATAACTCTTGCTATCTTGAAGCTCAGCTGTCATGGCTCACGCTCTCACTCTGACTCAGATCTGCAGCCCCGTGTCAGAATGCTGGGTGCCATCACCCGGAAAAACTGCAACCATCTTAAGTCCATGCCTTGTGGGTATCCCTGCACTAACCAGCCAGAGCCCAGGGCCCACCTGGCTTGTAGCGCCACCTTCTCAGCCGCCCAGTGGCCCTGCATTTGCAGCATTTCCCTGGACTGCTCCCTCAACCGCTGCTCCAGGTCACGGGTCATGCTGCTGGCTGTCAGCTGCAGGTGGGAGTCGAGACTCAGGCAGGCCACGTTCAAGCGTTGGGCCGTCTGGGCCATGTCCGCCTGAACGTCAGCGAGACCCCTGGAATATAAGAGTTGTACCTTGACTGAGCCTCATGACACTGCTGGGTGTTTAGGACCCAGGATATTGCAAGCCAGGCCTCAGAGGGAGAGGCGGGTCACATGAACAATGACCATTTTCAGGAGAAGCCCTACTGTATGCTATGAATTGGCTTATATGTCACAGAATGGTGAGGACGGAGCCAAAGAGGAGTGAGCAGAGATGAGCCTGACCAGAAATGACAACTTTGAGTAAGACACTGGCTTCTGGGCTTTTATTTCCTCCTGTGTACATTGAGGGTAACTGGGCATGCCTAGGATCCCCATGAGGTGTTCAGAAAGGCCTAAATGGATCCCTGAAACCCTGCGAAAGCCAGTGTCTGCCCTCCCACACATGTGCCAATGCCCTGCCCTCATTTCCCCTTCTCTCCTCCTCCCTCTCTCCTTCCCAGCTGTCCGCCTTCCCAGGGGGCAGCCAGAACCAGCACAATTGCAGCCCGGGAGGAGCCACGTCCTACCACTCAGGCGCCACGGGGTGGGCACTTCTGTTTACCTCTCAGTGGATGCCCGGAGCTCAGCCAGGTGTGTCTGCAGAGCTTTGGCTTGTCTCCACAGGGAGAGGATGTCTTGAGGCTGTCTCAGGCCCAACCTTTGGGACTGATAATAATAAGAGGTTGAGTTTACTAAGTCATGTCCCTTCCCTCTCCTACCACCCTACCATGGGCTGCAAGGGGAACCTGTGTGACCTATTAGGTGTCCAAGCCTCATATCCATCCCACGGGCTTCCCAACGCCACATAGGAGACACTGCCATGTCCACCAAGAGAGGACTGTTTCTAGGTCCTTCCATGGCAGCAGGGAGTATTGTCCCACAGTAGAGGGCATGGCAGGGCTACTGAGAACCAGGTCTCCCCAGAACAGAAAGACTCCCCCAGGAACTGGTGCTGCCCTCTGAGGGATGAGCTGCTCCCCTGTCCCCTTAGTGCCATGGGAGGTCTGATGCTAGGGGGTTCTACAAGATGTGCAGGACCCATGCCCTGCAGGGGCTAAGACACTGAGCAAGAGCACCCAATAGAACCCTAGTGCAGCCAGCAGCAGAGGAGTTAGCAGAGAAGCCAGGCAGCAGGAGGAGGAGGCTGGTGATGGTGAAGTGACATGCCAATCATAATGTGTGCCCACAGCCTTTAGTGAAGAGTGGGGACCAGAAGGCTCTTGGGGTCTATATGCTACCTTCCTGTCATCATAGCTCACTGTGTCCTGTATGCTGACCTCTGGGACCCACAGGGTTCTCTGTATCAATTGCTCCATTATAGCTCCTTGCAGGTCCCTGCATGATTTAGCTCCACCTAAGACTCTTCAGCATGGCTTTCTGATGGACACTCTCCCTACGCCTGTCTAAAAGCCACACCTCTTCCTGTGTGAGGCCATTCCCGACTCTTCAGCAGACCCTGTGTCTGAGCCCTCTGTGGGTCCTGATCCAAGGACCATGCTTCTGTATACCTTGGGACCCAGCAAGGAACACTTGATTGTGCTCTGTCACATCCCAGAGATGAGACGAACAGGCTCCTGTCTCATGGGAGCATGAAATTCTAGACCTTTCCTCTTTTCGACAAGGCTGAGTGGGCGAGCCACAGGGAATGCGTGCAGCCAGGACATGGTGCAGGCGAGGAACCTCTTCTTTCTAAAAGTAACTTCTTTCTAAAAGGAGCAACTTCAGCATCAGTTTCTGTACTCTGGGGAGCTGAGCAAAGTGGGGGTCTTCTCAAACATGTGGACATCCAAAGCTGCACTCAACACATTAAAGCTGAGTAGACCAGAGAACAAGAAGACCTCTGACGTGCGACAAGCACAAGCTTACACTTTCATCCTGTTCTCATATGCCAGCACTCACATAGAGCCACAGACACGCAGATTCACATGCACACAAACACACACCCATACAAACACCACACTGCAACACATTGTACTCATACAGCTCTCAGAAACTCAGTCCTTACACACTCGGGCTGTCATTCACCACAATGAGCTCCCACGTGCACACATACCACAAGCCCACACATGCACATATACACAACACACTCATATATCCACATATACAAGTCTTACACATGCCATACACACAGGCTTACACACACACACACACACACACACACACACACACACACACACACACTGTCTTGCAGAGAAGCTGCCTGTCTAAAATGTTAGAGCAAATAAACAAAAGAAACAGCTCTTCCCTGTGCCTGGAACCATGGTGAAACATCATGTAGCCTAAATGCACACAATCTAGATTTTTACAAACGCAGAAGCCGAAAGCCCATTGCAGTGTGGCTCGAAGACTATTGGAGCCTCTAGGCCCCCATCAAAAGCAGTTAAAAATCCTTTCTGGAAAAATCCTGCATTCATCCCAATTTCAAAGAATTTTCAGGAAGTTCCAAGGAAAATAACCAGCTCCCTGTTAGAGAATCAAAGATCACCAGTGACATAAGGAGACAACGCTGAGGTCAGCAGAAACAATGGGCTCAGACTCGGGCGAGGGTAAGTGGTGGAGCATCAGACACCAAGCACCACGTAGCTGCGTGGGATTCACACCAGCCAGGGAAGGGGATGTTTACAAAAGACTCAATCTATTCGCCTAAAGATGAAAAGTCTCCTGTTTGTATTTTAAGTCAAGGAGGCAGAGCCCAAGGTGATTAAAGGTTTGAAGGGAAAGTGATGAGCGAGAACGTGGGTCTGAAGAAATAAGCCTGGCTCAGGGTAACTCAGAATGATTCTGAGCACTAGAGATGGTGTAAGATTGACACAGACCCCTTGTTGGCTTGAGAGGAGGGGGAGGTGGGCATAGGTAATACTGAAAGGGTTAACGGATGGCATGAGAGGAAGGGGAGGTGGGCATAGGTAATACTGAAAGGGTTAACGGATGGCATGAGAGGAAGGGGAGGTGGGCATAGGTAATACTGAAAGGGTTAACGGTCCTTTCCGGGCACGAGGAAGGACAGAGGCTGGACAAGCTGTAAGCCGGATAAACAGGAAGAACCCACACTGGGGTGTGTCATAGAAAGCTGCAGCCTGCCAAAGTCAAAACAAGGTGGGAGAAGTCACCCGAGCAAGGAGACCAACAGTCTCGTGTCGAGTTGGGGTCAGGGAAGGCCACAGCCTTGTTGGCAGCAGCAAAGAGTCCAGAGGCAGAGCCCTTCACAGGCCTGAGAGGTAGGACCTGACCCATAACGAGCAAAGCCAAGGAGACTGTGGACACTGCTTGTATAGCATTGTTTGGTGGAAGCCACTCAGGTGGGTGGCATAAACCACACCCAGATACATAATGTGGGCAGGGCAATGGCTGTTATCTGCCTCAGCAAGCCTATTCCCAGACCTCCTGGGATGGCAGACCCGGCTCTCTGGTGTCTCCTCCTCACACCTTAGCTGTCACAGATAACCTCCTGTCTCCTGCAGAAGTGGTGACGACAGGTGTGTAAACTGTAGTTGCTGCCAGAAATGACAGATGTGGGACAGGGGGCAGGGGCCTCTATGGCTGCCTTTCCTGACCTCGGAGGGCAGGGCAGTGGTGGTCTCTCTGACATGGATTTGTTTGAAGGGGCGTATGTAGACCCAGGCCCAGGGAGCTCCCTCAGCTCCTGCTTTCGTATGGAGAGCGTCTATTCTTCAAGTGACTTCAGAAGGGAAATCTTGCCACTGGTGTGTGCAGAACACTTGGATGTGCATCCAGACCCCTCTGGAGCAGGGCTATCAAAGGACTCCTTTAGCTTCAGTTGTATAGTGTCACCTCTCCAAGACCACGCCCTTCTAAGGCCAACCCACGTCCATTGACAGATCAGTAGACCAGACCCAGATACCTTCCAAGGCCTGTAACCTTATTCCCTGAGACTCCACTTCGAGTGGGCAAGACTCTGGGTCTCTGGTAGTGTCTGGCTAGGAGCTTAAGGTCAGCTGTGTGACACAGGTCCTTTAAGCAGCCTCTCTGTGAGGCCAGCAACGTCCCACATCAGAGCCAGGAATGACCCAAGAACCTTCCAGTCTTGTTCTTCTTTCCCCAAGGGGACAGGGGACCGAGCTGTCCCTCATGACACAGACTGCTGTGACCAAGCAAGATGGATGGTGAGGTCTCCACCCAGGAGGGATTGTATGAAGCCAGCATCCCCCTGCCTGTTCCTTGCTGCCCACCTACCACCATCAGCTGCAGGCACCAAATTAGACAGGCAGAAGCAGGGACAGGCTCTGGGGACCAGCCACATACCTCCCGCCGCTCCAGCTTGCCTTGCAGGCGGAGCAAGCTGTGTGTTGTTCTGGCCAGCTCCCTTGCCAGTGTGTCATTGGCCTTCTGCATGTGCCCCAGCTGTCCCCGCAGGAGGGTGTTTACTTGGGAGAGGCCCATGCTCCTAGATGGACAAAACCCACAGCTTCATGTGTGTGACTTCCTAAGGAGGCACCCGGAGCCCGGGGGTCTAAACCAAGGGCCTAAACGGTGCCCTGAGGCTCCCGCGCTTGCTCAGGTGCATGCCCCTGCCGGTGCTCCCAAGTGGCACCAACCACCTGCAAGGAGCCCCACATGAAGCCAGCATCAGAAGAACTCTCCCCAGGGCCAGCTCAGCATCATCTTTCCTTCCCGAGACTCCTGTTCTCTCAAGTTCTCCCTTACCCCCAGCCACTCCTTTCCCTCTAAGAAATTTATAAGGTATGGGAGACACAAAGGGAGCCTTGGAGGGGCAGGCTGGCAGGAGCTGGGCACCTCTGGGAGATGCCAGCCATCCTGTCAGCTTTTCAGGCATCAGGCTCCCCTGGGGCTCTTCTTCCCCCTCAAAATGGGTTTTCAAAATGCTCTTCAGCATTTTCTCCCTCCGCCAGATTCCTGGAGGATAAGCCAACCACAGGATGTTGGTGATGGTGAGATCGGCTCAAGTGGGGCTCTAAGGGCTGTTTCTGGGACTGGGGTGTGGTGCATTCAGGCCAAGTCTGAACAAAAGGGCCTGTTGACATCAGAGAGGCTTGGAGCCAAGAGTTCTGCAGTTGTGGTTGGCGTGGTAAGGGGAGCTAGAGAAGGGCACCCAGGATTGTGTATGCCACTGGGTCATGGTTGACTGTGGTAACCCACCAACAGTGATGGCCAAGCGTCCTGGCATTACACTCAGGGAATGGGGTCAGGGAGCCTCTGGCAATGGCTGTGCCTTGGGAAGCTGCCCACGAGCCCAAACCTATTCCTGCAGTGGGTGGGGAGAAGTGAGCAGATTCCCCCTCAGTTGCTCTGGTCTGACATGGATGCTCCTGTGTCTAGGGGGTGGGAATATACACCAAGGAGTGTGGGCAGAGGACAACAAGGCCATCTCTGATGCCAGCTGTCACTTGTAGATGGCTCCTCTTAAAAACCCTGGTCCAACTTTGGGATATTAAGGATTCAAGCCTCTCTAATGTCTTTGCTCCCTGTATTCAGGGGTAAAGATAATCACTATTAAAGAGACTAGGAGGCGTCTCACTCACCCAGCAGTGATGAGAGGGCTCTCAGCTCTGTACTGTCTGTGCCCTGGCCTGTGTCACAGGGAAGGCAAGGGCAGGGAATCTGCTGCCCACTCTACAGACTGCCCTTTCTCTCCCTTCTCACTCTCCCTGGCACTGATGGATGAGAAACTGTATGTGAGGATATGGGAATGGTCTCCCGTGAAAGCAAGGGAGAGCGGCATGGTACCCAGCTCTGCTTGACGATGACCCCTCCTTCCAAGGGTCCTTCCCCTGTGCCAATTTTCATAGTCAAAGTTAACTCAGAATAGCTTTGATGGGTTGGCCAGTAGCTGTGAGGCAGAGTGAGGTCTGCCCCCTCTGGGATGATGGCCACAATCCTGCAACCCCGATAGCCTGTCCATTGGGCCTCACCTCTGCTGTGAGGCCTCCAGCCGGCTAAGGGCCTCCTCCAAGTCCATGCTATGCTCCAGCTCTGACTTCCGAAGCCGGGCTTCAGTGGTATCCAGGCGGGCCTGCAGCTAGGAAGGAGTGTGAGCCCACCTGGTCCACCTCTCTCTAGTCATCCAGGTAGGGCATCTTTGACATAAAGATCACTCTGGGCAGAGGCAGGAGACAGGGCCTCCCAGGGGCCTGTTCATACCCTGCTTCTCTGTCCAGTGCCTGTGGCCCACAGAGGAGGGGGAAGGGAAGCATACTGATTGAGCGAATGATGCTTGGGTACTGTTAGGCCTGGAAATACTATGGAAGTGGTGGGACCAGCAGGGGGCAAGGCTCCGGAGGTCCTTGGAGACACTTCACCCCTGGTGGCTGGGAGCAGGGACAGCTGAAAAGTAGGCTCTGCTATGCCTGCACGGGGCATGAATCTGGGCCCTCGGACCTGACCTATTTCCCAAGTTGTACCTCCACTCTCAACCCCCATTCTTAGGAGGTGGGAACTAACTCACATGAAGCCAAGTCCCCTTGCTACCAATACAGAGCATTATTATCCCAAGGGGTTAGGAAAGTAGGCTGGGAACACTGCGGGAGTCAGGAAGGCACACCCAAGGCCTACCGCTCAGAACCACTTGGCCATTGCTACAGTGGGGATCTGAACCCAGAGCCCAGGAAGTCATGGGGTCCAGGAAGTTCTGGGAGGAAAATACAAAGAACAGCAGGGCACGGTGATGGGACACAGGGGTGGCCGATGGCCAAAGACCTTTTTCTCAGCCACCAGCAGTGTGACAGTTGGGATCAGAGGACTCCAATGAAAAGGCATTGTATTGTCATCTGGGGAGGACATGCTGGACACCCCTCGCCCAGTTCCCCCCGTGTGCTGGGGAGTAGTGTGGGGCAGGGTCTCCTGGCACCCCCATCTAGCTGGCTCTGAGCTGAGCTCTGACTCATAGCTTATTAGTTTACTCCTCTTTGGAAGGACAGCTGCAGCTTCTATTCCCTGAAGTCCCTTCCCAACATCCCCCGCCCTGTGCTAGGAAGATCCCTACCCCCAGAATGCACCAGGGCAGAGGCTCACAGGAAGAGTAGCCTCATGGAGCTCCTGAGCCAGACCGTGATAAGAAGGTCCTCGCAGTCTTTCTTACAGGGACTCTAGGGATGGAGCTAAAGAAAACAGCATTTCCCATGCTTGGCGGAAAGGGCATCAGAAAACTGGGACCCAGCGGCAGGTGGGCACCTTAGGGATAATGTGGTTGTACTTGGAGGCATGGCCAAGCATGGCAAGCCTCTGGTTTGTCACAGTTACATGCCATAGGACGAGCAGATCCAGGGCGGGGCTGGGCCTGGGCATGGTTGTAAGGCATTAGGGTGGTGGTTCTCACCCTTCCTAATGCTGTGACCTTTTAATACCTCATGTTGTGGTGACCCACCCCCCAACTATAAACTAGTTTGTCGATATTTCATGACTGTAATTTTGTTACTCTTGTGAATCATAATGTAAATATATTATGTGCAATATATCTGCTATGCGCCCCCCCCCAAGGCAGGCACAAGAACCATTGTGTTGGGGAATACTGGCCAGGGCTGGGCCTTAGTTTCCTCATCCTGCCTGCCAAACAGATCTCAGGCTAGGTCCATAGATGGCCTAGTAGTCGATCCTAGGGAGTCAGAGCCCCCATTCTTCTCCCTTACCATGTCCTATCCTTCAGTTCTGCTTCTGAAGCTCTCATGACTCGGAGAGGACAACGTGTGCAAAGGGCTCCGGCCTGGACAACGCCTTCGCTTTTCTGCTCGATTTTCTTTATCTTCATAGAAAAGGCATCCCCTAGCCCACAGGCATCCCCCAAACCTCTGGTTGAAGCCTCATAGGTCACCCCTCACTTGTCCCATTCTGAGGCCTGGCGGTAAGTAAGTGCATGAGAAAGGGCTAGAGGCCGGAGCAGGAGTGTTTGCCCACAGGCTCTGCCTGGGGGCTGACGCCAGCTTTTCCTGGCTCTCTCTTCTGTTCAGAAGCTAGCTCTGTGATTATGAATGACAAAGCCTTAGGACCAGCGGGTCATCATTGACTGGGTCGCGCCATAGAGCTCCTGGAGCAGACATACTTCCAAAGGGGACATCGGCTTCACCTGCTTACGTCTGGCCTCCATCTGTTGCCCAGGTCCAGAGACTAACTGACGGCTATAATCACCAGTCCTGGGAGGTGGTCCCTAACAAGGACTCGATGGGGAGCACTGGCCTGCAGGTACCAGCTGCACACTCACCCTCTGGCTGACCATGTGACACCTGCTAACCAGTTCCTCCCGCTCAGCATCTGCCTGAGCCAACAGGTCCTCCAACAGGGCCAGCTCCTCTTGCAGGAGTTCACTCTCCTCCTGTGTATGGGTTGGAGTAGCTGGCAGCTCCCGCAGCCCTGTGGTGAGCACAGCATTAAGATCAGGCCAGGGCCCTCCTCAAACACCCTACTTCTAGGGCCTGTACCAACAGGAGAGGGCTTCCATGAGGAACTTTACTTCCTCGCCTGTTACTAAGCACCCTTCCTACCCTTATTGCCTTTGGTAAACATCTTTAACCTTCTCAGACTCATGCACTGCCAGGCCAAGTCCCTACCCATCAAAGCATGTGTGGGGGACACAGGGTACCACCCATAGTGCCTGGGTCCTGAGCAGTAGTGGAAACACTGCTTTGGGGTAGCAGGACCCCAAAAAGAAAGATTGCTTTTCCAAATATGCAGTGGTGTTTCTCTGTTCTTTCCCAACAGTAGCCCGGGGCCATCAGAAGATTAGACAGGCCCTTAAGACACAAAGGGGTCATCAAGACCCCAGCAGAAGGGAGCCATGAGCTCAACTGGGGATCAGGGAGCCTGACTCCTATTTGGCCTCCATGCAGGGATGGACTCCTCGGAGCCTGTTCCTGCAGTGTGATGGTAAGGTGTGCGTGGGGCTGGATGGAGGGCAAAGACAAAGTCCAGGATGTCTGGGCTCAACTTAAACTGAAATGTCAACCTTTAGGATTTTTACTCTGGCGGGAAAAAAAAATGAAGATGGATAAAATCAAGACACAGTGACATAACGGTGTCACAACACAGAGATCACCCCCATAGAGCATTGACAACAGCTTCGTAGCTATCTGCATGACTCCTGGGGACCTAATGGCGAGATTGTTTCACATTTGTGAAAAATGGGACTAGGAGAGTCTGGCATGGGCAGCAAGGGCCACAGACAGTCCTAACGGTGTGGCTCCCTAGGGCCAGACCCCAGTGTGCAGCTCTGAGGTCCCACGGGTACCTGAGCAGCTTCAGCACCCTCACCTGAGAGTGGCTCTTCCACCAGGCTGCTTGACACGATCTCTCGGATTCGGGCTGGCACAGGGGTGGGTAAGGCCCGCTGGCTTTCTCCACGGACAGTCAGTGCCCGGTCCTCCCTGCTGGCCATGGGGCTCAGGATGGTGTCTTCCAGCTTCTGAAAAACACCCAGAGCTCTGGTTCATGCAGTCCCTGAGCGACTTGCAGGCCCCTCGCGCAAGCTCACTGGGGTCAGTTAGTGACACCACACGGTCACTTCCATGTAACAAAGAGTCCTGGGGACAGCAAAGTGGGGCGTGGCTGGTCACCCAAGCCATATGCCTTAAGTCTCCCCACTTGTGGGCTGGCATTGTGCCAGCAGCAGGCCGTGCTTTGGCAGAAACGAGGTGATCAAGAAAATGGCCATTTGAGAGGATTCCTAGCTTAGGTCCGCGCAGCTCACTTCTAAGCCTTTTTCTAGCGCTAAGCAGATTGGGCTAAGTCCCGGGCCGACTCAGACTAAAGGGCAGGCACTTTCTCTAGTCACTCAGTAGAAAACATGAGGCTTGGGGTTGACTGACCACAAGCGTGTGGCCCTCTTTCCCAGCCATCTAAGCAGCTTGCCGGTCACTCTTCTCGAGTTAGAGCAGTCTCCTGTCTCCAACCCTCTGCTGTTGCAACATCAGAGCCAATAAAAAGCTCGTTCCGGAATGGTTTCTTTGTCCACATTGTGGTCTTTAGCATGAGCAGCACGGGCTGGGCTGGCTGAATGAATTAGAGACAAGACCTCAAGCTTCTAAGTCTTAGCAGAAGTGGAAGCGACTGCATTGGAGGGTACGAGGAGCCAAGAAGCCTGACACCTGGAACTATGAGCCACTCTAATGCCGGGCATGGCAGCTGAAGTGTTCAAGACAGCAACTAAGGGCAGAAACCCAGAAGTTAAGAAAGTTAACGAGAGGTGCTGGTGAGATGGCTCAGAGGTTAAGAGCACTGGCTGTTCTTCCAGAGGTCCTGAGTTCAATTCCCAGCAACCACATGGTGGCTCATAACCATCTGTAATGAGATCTGGTGCCCTCTTCTGTCCCACAGGAAAACATGAGGGCAGAATATTGTATATATAATAAATAAATAAATCTTCAAAAAAAAAAAAAGAAGAAAGCTAGAACTCAGTGAAGAGCTCGAGGGTGGAGTCTAGACTTGGTAGACTGCAAGCCCCAGAAGAATTTGGGAGAGCTGCCGAGGGTTCTGGAGGCAAGTTGGGGTACCTAGAACGGAGGACACCGGCAGGTGGTCTGAGCCCAGAGCAATGGACCTTGGTCTCAAGCACGCAAAGCAATAAACTTCTAACTGAAGGCTTGGAGCCATAAGCCTTTTGGTCCCAAGACTTAGTGCTGTGGGCCTCTGGAAATTTAGGCCCTAAAACTCAAGGTCATCAATACCATGGGGAGCAGCTTCTTGTCTACCCATGATTCCTACCTAGACATGGTCTTTGGACTCTCAGATTCTCAGCAACATTTTCTTGTAGCTGTGAGGCAGAGTGAGGTCTGCCCCCTCTGGGATGATGGCCGCACTCCTGCAACCCAGATAGCCTGTTCATTGGGCCTCACCTCTGCTGTGAGGCCTCCAGCTGGCTAAGGGCCACAGTGGGACTCCCCAGATCCCTTTCCCACCTAGAGCTCCTTCAGGTGACACTCAGCAGTCTCCTGACTTCCATTTTTCAGCCCCCACAGACAACCTTTTCTATCTGGAGCTCTGCTGGTTCTGCCTCTCAGGCCTGCGTTGGTGGGGAGATCCTGCTTCTCCAAGCGACCCACCTTTCTTACCCATACTTCCCCTTTCTACTCTGAATCCTGAACATCTCTGTGGAGATAAAACAGGACTTTCACTTAGTCCTACTAAATATAATGACTGCCCCCCCCCCTTCTGAGACAGGGTTTCTTTGTGTAGCCCTAGCTATCCTGGAATTCCCTCCATAGGCCAAGTTGGCCTTGACTGCAGAGATCCTCCTGCCTCTGCCTCCTGAGTGCTGGGATTAAAGGCCTGTGCTACTGCCCAGTTGACTCCTCTCTTAGGTTAGTCAGATTGGAATCACCCCAATATCCAGATTCTCCCAATATCCAGATTCTCCAGGGCCCTGGACAGGGCCTGTCCTGGTCCCCCAAGAATCCTGCAAAGGTCAAATGCTGCAGATGAGTGAGTTCAGGGCCTGGCTAGTCTGCCCCTCAGGCTGGGCAAAGGCTTACTTTCTCAAGGTTTTGCACTTACTCCCCTAGGTGGTCTTGGAAGGTGCCTCCACTTTGCTTTCCTCCAGAGGACCTCCCAGTCTTGCTCTGAGTGGGTGGTAAACAAATTTCCTTGGGTGCAGCAGCTCCACTGGTGAGGAACAGAGCTGCGCTTGCTACATATTCCCAAGACCACCAAGGCCTCGCCTGCTTTTCTAGGAGCTGGAAGCACCCAGCCATGGCTGCCCTGTTTTGCACAGGAGAAACCTAAGGCCTAGTGGGGGTAGCAAACAGCACCCCAGGCCCCCAGATTAAAGATGTGATGCTGGCTTTATTTAGAGGTTCCCTCCAGGCCGGAAGGACCCTGCCTCCCCTCCCTCCTCTCCCCGGAGCATCAATGGCGCCACCCGCTAACGGGAAAGCAGCGGTGCAGCACAAACTTGACTCATTCCTAACGTTTACAGAGGGTCACTTATTAGCCGGGACGTCCCGAGAGGCGCTGGGGGCGTAATAGGTTCCAGCTGTGGCCGGGTGCCTGCGATGGGTCGACGCCCAGCCAGAGCAGGAGGGGTGCGGAGGGGGAACGGGAGGGGCGCGTCCCTGGCAGCCCGCCCTTCCCTCCCGCCTCTGGTCCCTAGTGCCGCGGGAGGACTGCAAGCGGGGGCCGCCCCGCCTCCACACAAACGGCTCGGGGGAGGGGCGCGGGGCTCTGCAACATCGTGCAAGGAGGTCTGTGCCGACCCGGGCCTGGATCTCGTGGGATCTTACCCGGGACCGCCTCCTTCCCCATCCCATGGCCCGTGGTGGGGAGTGGGGCTAGGGGAGTTTCCAGCGTGTGCCACAAAGACTGTCCATGTTGCCACCAGCGTCCTCCCCAGCCTGGGTGGGTAACCATCTCCAGGGCCAGGATCTTTCCTATCCAGCCTGGTTCTGGGGAAGGTTGTAGTGGGCCCTGGATAGCCTTTGGGGGGGGGGATCCTCAGACTGTGGGAAGGATGCCAAGGTTTGGCAAAAGGGACTTCCATGGTCACTTTCCTAAAAGACATCAGATTCAGATGAGCTGGTTCACGTTTGCTCCTTCTTATTGCTCTCAGTGTGTTCCCCAGCTCAACCTATGCCAAAGACCCCAGGGAGGCCACTGCCCCTGTAGGTCGCCCGTGTATCCAGATCTAGCCCCAGGTGGGATTGTTTGAGACAGTGGGGACAAACGCCATTGTCTCCTATTCTTCTGTGCTTGCGTGGAGGGAGTCCCATGTAGGGGACTGGTCTCTTTACCTCACTCTCTGAGTCAGAGCAGAACTCCCTTCTAAGAGAACTGAGGAGGGGTTCCCACTGTGCCATCAAATGAAAGGTGACCACGGGTATATCCCACCACCATCGGTGAAGTGATGTAGATGAAATTCAGGCCATCCTGGGTTCCAGGGCCCCAGGGGCTGTTGAGTGAAGGCTGGGGTTCAGGTCTGGAAAGGAGGGAGACTGAGCACCAGCTGCCTACATCCCTGATAATAGCCCCAACATTGCCCACCACCCCTGGTCCCCTGGGAATGCAAACTGCACAGATCTTCCTTGTAAACTGGCCTCCCCATCCTCCTGTGGCCTAGGAACCCCACACTGCACTTTTGCCCTTGCCTAGAGACCCACTGGAATGGGGAGTTCTGGAGGTGGGGTATGCATCCTCCCCCATTCTTGAACTTGACGCAAACATTGTGGGGGGACAGCAGTTGTTGTGGATGGGGGGGGGTGAGGTCAGGGGTAGGGCTCCAGCCCTCGGTGTGGGTTCATATCCAGGAAAGGAGCCTATCACAAGGATGGGCTCCAGATCAGGGCCCTGTCCTATCCTCCGAGGCTCCTGCCCCACAGCTATGACCCTTCCAGATTTGGGATGGCCATCACCCTGAAGGGGAATCCAGGCGACATCCAAGCACAACCCACTGCTAAGGACCGGTGGGGAGCCCAGACTCAGAGGAGCATGGCCTTTTCCAGCTCTCAGGGCTCTGCCAGGGCTGCTGTCTAGGTTGGGCAGGAGGAGGAGTCAGAGTGTGTTTACTGCAGGGGGCTTCTTGAGCAGGGTTTGGGGGGCTCTCAGCTGTTGCTTCCAACAGTGGAGGCAGAACAGAGCACCCAGGGGCAGGCACCCCAAGTAGGTACCCCAGCAGGTAGCCTAACACCTTCTGGGATGCAGGTAAAGGGAAAAAAAAACTACAAGACAAAGCAAAACACACAAACAAAACCCATTAAACCCTCCAGGGGTGTAAGAGGGCTGACTTCCACTCTCCCATCTGAACCAGAGCCAAGCAGGGACTGCGAAGGCATGAGTGGGAAGCTCCCTCAACCCCTAAGTTCCCCTGGGTGGACTCCCTGGGGTCCTCTCACAGTGCCAGCAGCACCGCCCCACTCCCTGAAGACCGGCAGGGTCTTCCTGTGGCCGGGGTGTTGTGACATAAAGACAAAGGAGGTCAATAAGCAGAAAGGGCAATGCACACAAGCTAATTCACAGCGTCTTGCTCACGACTATGGTCACAAACAGGGGGACAGTCTAGGTGCTGGTACCCCAGGGGAGAGCAGAATGGGTTTAAAAAGGACCTTGGCCACTTCAGGTTTGGAGAAAGGCAGAACTCACCCATATCTTTTAAATAAAGAACTCAGTAGCAAGCAGGACAGCCCCACCCCCCAAGTCTCCGAGGGAGAAGGCATTCCACAGACAAGCCCAGTGGGATGCTATCTCAGGCCCTAACCTAGGCAGCAGGCAGAACATGGCTGGGTGACAGAGTCCTGGAGCCGAGAGCTATCCTGTATCGATCACAGTGCAGTGCAGGGGTAGTTAGGCTTGCTGCTAATGTCTGCATGCTGAGCTCCAACAGTGCCCCCGTGTGGCCCCATCCAGTACTGCAGAAGGGCTGCAGGGCCTACCCAGCTGCTGGAACTCCGGCTCCACCGTGATGGACAGTAGAAGACG